ATATTCTTTTGGTTCTATCCTCTGGCAATGTTTTTCATTTTTCTAGTTCTTTGTGTATCAAAACCATTTTAGATTTTATCCTGGACATGGTGGATGTTATTTTGTACATACTTCAAGTCTGTTTTATTTCTCAACAACAACAAAAAAACCAAACAAGCAAGCAAGCAAGCAATTAATGTGAAATTGTACTGTCAATTTCATCTCATGCTTTGTGGGTGGCAATTCCAATCTTGGTTCATTTTAAAGCTTCTGAGTTTGTCTTGTGTGTGGTGTTTCAGGGGCCAGTCTTTTACACTCAAAAGCAGAGGACTTGTTTTCCAAGTTCCCTGCCTTTACATTCCCCCAGGTACAGCTGTTAGATGGTCTTACAGACTGAAAGATGGTGCCTCAGATTCTATTATGGTGTATTCATATCATGCTATGCAACCTAGGCCTGAGGCCCACTCTCGATGCAAACATCCTTTCTTTTTTGTTTGTTTGTTTGTTTGTTTGTTTTGTTTGTTTTGTTTTTTTCGAGACAGGGTTTCTCTGTGTAGTTCTGGCTGTCCTGAAACTCACTCTGTAGACCAGGCTGGCCTCAAACTCAGAAATCTGCCTGCCTCTGCCTCCCAAGGGCTGGGATTAAAGGCGTGTGCCACCACTGCCCGGCTGCAAATATCCTTTCTGCAAACATGTACTGAAGGGGACATTCCATCATGTGCTTCTGTCTATAGATTCTGACCGGCCTTCACAACTACTTGCTTATTTTTCTGAATCTCATGGTAGCTTTTACAATGTCTGAGATTTATAGTACCATCAGGATGAGAAATGGTTCATAAAGTTCATATCATCATATAAACTCATTTTGTTTGACACATAAACACATACCGTCCGTGTTAAAATTACATTAATATAATGAAAAGAATATGCGGCAGTGGTCAGTGTCTTAAACTGGGTAAAGTTGACAAAGGTATGTTAGAAATGTTTATATGTTTATAGACTTTTATGTTACATACTTGGCGTGTTACTGCTTATCATGTATCCTTTTAAAGATTCTGTGGTAGCTAATCTTTGTTGTCAACTTGACTACATCTGAGATGAACTAAAACCTAAGTACCTGGGTACACTTGTAAGGGACTTTTCCTAATTAAATCTTAAGAAGTGGGAAGACCCATTTTTTTAAATTTGGATCTTTTGATGGGGAAAGGTACACCTTTGATCCAGCTCTTTTGAGGTGGGAGAATCCACCTTTAATCTGGGCCACACCTTTCTGCTGGCAGTCTATATATAAAGGACAGAAAAGAAAACAGCTTGCTCTCACTGCCAGCTTGCTCTGGCTGGAGTTCCTTCAATGGTATGGGAGCCTACTTCAGGATTCCAGTGTATTCTGAAGATTAGCTGAGACATTCATCCTGTGCTCTGAACAACTAATGGATTTCTGATCTTCCTTTGGTAGACAGCTATTGTTGAGTTGCATAGTGAGTTTCATATATACAAAGTAATAATAAAACACTCCTTTATCATATATAGTAATATATATTTACTCTGTCAGTTCTGTCCCTCTAGAGAACACTAGTGAATACAGATGCTTTACAATATAAAAAATGAAGCACGTCCCTTGATAATGAGACTCTTGGCTCCTCACTTAGCATTTTTCTAACTTACATTTTTGTCATGAAATAATACGTTTATAATATATCAATAAGTAAAAGAGAAATAGAATAAAATATAATCTCTTGAATTATAATACACCCCTAAATCTTATTGACATAGATAACACAATGAAGCATATTTAAAGTAAGTTCAAGTAGACAGTGATCTGCAGTATTTCAAAAGAGTAGACTTCATAACTACAAACTGAAATCTTGGTTCAAAGTTTCATTTTGTTTTTTACTGCCTGTATGACCTTGAGTGACTTTAGCTCTCTGGGTTTATTTCCTAGTTGTTCAATGGAGAAAGCAGTAGGATGTCAGGATACTCAGTAGACATACTCAGTAAACAGTAGCTATTACTAGTAGGAATACTAACGCTTCCTCGTGCATCCCAAAGGACTCAGACTACTATTTGCTTTCTCAACTACTAATCTTCATCAAAACAGAAGCCTTTCTTCACTTCCAGAAATCAGATCTTCAAGGAACTTTCATATTAAAAGGATACACTTTTTGAATGCGCCATCTAGTGGTACACATTGTGTTCAAGGCTAGGCACCCACAGAAAATAAACCCTCATAGGGATGTTAGTAGATTGGAGTCGAGGTCACTAAGTTATAATATACCGGGCATTATCACACATCGTTGTTTGTTTAGTCTTGTGTTTAGAGACAGTGTTTCTCTGAATAGCCCTGCCTGTCCTGGGACTCGATTTATAGACCAGACTGGCCTCAAGCTCACAGAGATCTGCCTGCCTCTGTTTAGGGAGTGCTGGGATTAAAAGCATGCACCACCACACCTGGTCGCATCACCCATCTTTAAGAAGTTCATTTCCCAACAGCTAGAGGATTGTTTTTTGTACTTTTAAACTTTCTGGGATATTTGTGGCACTTAATATACCAAATCACAATATTTTTCTGACATCGATTTTCCTTTCAAGAAAAACTGGGCCCATGTTAGTTCTTTATCCAATTAACAGATATAGTAAGGAACGGGAATCAATTACCTGAGAGGCAACCAGGATACAGTGAAACTTATTATACAATCCATTGTGAAAAGTATCAGAAAGCATGTCCTGGCATACTGTCTAGTGGGAGAAGATATCTGGGAGGCTTAGATAAGAATAAAATCTTGAAAGTCTTGAGACAGAACATAATTAAAGAAACCAAAGTATTATGCAAGCAGAAAAGCATATGTAAATCCTGGTGCTAAACAAGTGCAGCGGCCACTTAAGAAAATGAGGAAGGCCCCTTTGTACAGTGCTCAAATAGGACAGAGATTGTAACATAAGCTCCAAAGTTTGAATATCATGGCAACAGTGAGAAAAGATGGGTTTTAAGCAGGAAGGCACAAATATGATTTGGTGCTCTGACTTACATTTTAAAAAGTTCACTTGTGGAAAATAATTTACGCAGGGCGCAAAAAAAGTCTGCCCAGATGAGCTGCAGTAATTTGGGCCAACACCATGAAAGCTGAGACAAGGGACAGGACAGTTAGTACAGACAAAAGGCAAGAAGAGCAGAGGGTCAGAGGAAGTGGATGTATATGTACATAACATTTCTCACTGAACATAACTGGGGGTGGTTTCCCGAGGGGGACTAATAAGACGGAGGATTAGAATTTTCTTGAAACATGAACTCTGCCCACAAAGTGTGAATGTTCAATTAGTTCCAGGCAGGACAATCATGAAATACCAGAACCAACAGGGGCTCCAAAGGTCTCTTCAGACTTGTATCTTAGTGATACTCCTGAGCTCACACCTTTGCGGAGCCTCGGTTCTCTCCCACAGCCAATTTCGCTACATTTTGTATTTTTAAAGTCCAGTTCAAAGGACATCGTAAGGAAGACCTTACTCCCAAGAGTCCTTTCGTCTATCTCTCCTCTAGACTGCACATTCTCGGATGGCACAGACTGAGCTCATCACGATCATCTTTGTGTCCCGGGAATCCAGTGCAGCGCCCTGCAAACAATGCACGACCCACAGACTTGCACTAGCCACTTTCGCCAGCCTTAAGACGCATAAACGCCTCAGGGTTCCCTGGCTTGGCCTGCCGGAAGTGACGCGTGGGGGAAGGTGCACTTCCGGTCTCGGTCTCTATGGCCGCGCCCCCGACCGGACCCCGGCTTCTCTGGCTCGTTGTCTCAGCTGCTCTGGAGGATTTAGACAGGGTAAGGAGCTACGCGGGCGGCACCGGTTGAGGTGTGCCGGCCACTGTGCTACTTTGGCCGGCTGGAGCCGGACTCCTGCGGGAGATCGCGAGGGCAGAGCCTGGGAGCTTGTCGGATCGCTCGGCTCCGCAGTTGGGAGCGGGCCTCGCAGGCCTTACTAAGGTGCCCGCGGGACGCGCTGCTGGGCCGGGCATGGAGAAGCGAAGCCACGCGTGCGGGAGCACCGGGGCTGTCCAGGGACCAGTGCACTGTAAAGTGGCGTACAGCGTCACTCACCGGCTTGAAGGCATGCTGCAGACCCACATAACCTGCAGACGCTAAGTTGCTTGGCACACAGGATGCTGCCCTGAAGGTGGTAACTCGGTAGTTGGAATAATCCTTTGATTGTGTCTGGAGTATTCATTCATTGAAGAAGAAAAAGAAACCGTTCTCGGAATTGCTAGGTAGCATGCAGAGTAAAATACTCAGTTTTATGTTGGAGCCAAATAATTTGTCTTAAAATACACTCTTTTAAAAAAAATGCTCACATCTATACTGTAAATGAAAACCTCTATGCATATTTATTAAGGGTACACAAACAAGACTTCTTAGTATGAAGCTTATTTTACAATTTGAATCACTAAAATGGGATGATTGAAAATGATTTAAAACCATTGGACTGCAAATGGCAGTTACCCTCATTAATAAGAGAAGACTATCACGTGACTGCAGACACTTTATAGACTGCCTTTATACATCTTCAGGGGAAAGACAGGCAAGGAGAAGACTTTTGTATGTTTACTAATGTACTTTGCAAGTTGTTGCATTGAAATGGCAAACTATGCAAGCAGGTCTGGAGAAAGTACACTGGGGAAAAAGGTAGGAAAAGAAATGGCCAGGAAGACTGAAGGATTTGAGGGGGCTGTTTACAGTATTTATATATGATTTCTAATTTAAAAATCATTTGTTGGCAAAATACTTTCTAGGTTTAAGCAAGCATATGTTGTTTTCTTCAACTGAAATGGAACCTTTCTGATCAATACCAGAATTGCTTTGGAGAAATGTCTACACAGCATACCATATGTCTGTGACAATACCTAAATGAAGAGTTTTAATGGTTTAAAGTTTAAAACATGAGTATATTTGATAGTAATGACCTCTCTGTATCTCTTCAATTTTTAATTAATTAATTACTATTATCTTACAGATTAGTAAAGTACTTCTGATCCAACCATGACCAGGTGGGCTAGAGTTACTACTTCAAATAATAGGAGACCCTTGTCAGCGACATCATGGGAGGACATGAAGAAGGGGTCTGCGGAGAAAGCAAACCAAAACCTTCCAGATCATAAGCCATGTCAAAGCAGTGGGCTGTCCCTTAGAAACGATGCCCCCCAAGCAAAACGCAGAAAGAACAAAAAGAAAAAAGAATACTTGAACGAAGATGTGAATGGATTCATGGAGTACCTGAAACAGAGCTCACAAGTGCTTCACCATGGACAGCTGACAGCAGCCGACAGCCGGGAAGTGAGGGAAGAAATTGCCGTGGCCTTGAAGAAGGACAGTCGACGGGAAGGAAGGAGGCTAAAGAGACAGGCGGCAAAGAAGAATGCAATGGTGCGCTCATGGCTGTATGTTATTTACTTCTTCGTGTAACTAGAAGGTGTTACTTGTCTGTTCACACAGCTCTGTTGTAACAGAGCCCAATTGCTGCTGTCCTAGTGCAGCTTTTAAGGCTTGTGCTTTCTTATACACACACAGACACACACACAGACACACACACACAACATACTGGGTAGTTGTCACAGCAACACTGCACACATGACAGTATTCCCCTATTACAGGCAGACAACACAATAGAAGTATGTCCAGGTTAAGTAACTTGTTGAAAGCCACTTGGTCCATGCTAGAGGTGACAGTCAAACTGAATTCAAAGCCTGTGTTTGCCCTACCACTGCCTTATGGTAATACCTTTTCAAATAGCTGTCAAAAGAACCTCTAGATACTCCAGCTTAAAGGTGGTTTGCATTACTTGGATGTTCTTTGGTTATTATGTATAAAATATTTGTTCACAAGAAAGAGGCCAGCTCCCTGTAATCCTCTCTTCTTGGAAGCTAAGGAATCTTTGAGAACTGTGTTTCGAAGTGAGAGATTCCAGAAGCTAAGGCAGGAAGCTTCCCAGGTTGGGAGAGGCCAGGCACTGTGGCTTCACAGAGCCAGCATTATTATGGCTTCTAAGCTTATAGCAACCCTGCTGCTGGGCGTGCCTAGGCAGAAGCCATGTATGGGTGTGTCCATTTGTGCTCCTGCACATATTTGTGTGTGGTTGGTGTGTGGGTGGCTGGGTTTACAGATATAGGCCACCGTGCCTAGCCAAAAGCCATTTGTGTGTGGTGTATATGTATGTTAAAGTGTGTGTGTGTGTGTGTGTGTGTGTGTGTGTGTAAGCCAGAAGACAAACTCAGCTGTCATCATTTGTTTGGATGGGGTCTTTTGCTGTCTTGCACTGTCCTGGAACTTTTCTAGTTAGGCTGTGCAGGCTAGCCAGCAGCCCATGTGCATCTCCAGAGTTAGGATTCTAAGTGCTTTGCACACTTGAGTTTTTCACATGGTGGCTAAGGCTTGAAAAAGGTCGTCATGCGTGTGTGTGTGGCATGCACTTTACTGTCTAGGCCATCTTTCCAGCCCAAACAGACATTTTTGAAAGTACGTTTCATTTACCTTCTACCTTATGTCTGGGTTTTTGTTTCGTTTTCTTTTTTGAGAAAGAGTCTCACTTTGTAGCCTTGGTTGACCTGGATCTGGCTCCATAAACGCACTAGCCTTGAACTCAAAGAGATCTGTCTACCTCTGCCGCCTGAGAGCTGGACTGAAAAAGTGTGTGCTACCATACGTTGAACACTAACATTCTGCCTGAATGTAAATCCCTGGTTTACTTCCATGGTCTTTACAAATTACTGCTGCTGCTACTGCTGAAAATAGATCTCCCCTCATACAGTACATCCCGACCACATTTCCCACTCCCTCTACTCCTCCCAGTCCCCTTCCCCTTGCCCTCTCCCCAAATCACCTTCTCCTCCATTTTCCTTCAGAAAAGACTAGGCTTCTAAGAGAGAGCAACCAAACACAACAAAACAACATACAATTGTTCAACAAGTCAAAGCCCTCATGTTGAGGCTGGACAAGGTAACCCAATAGGAGAAAAAGAGTCCCAAGAGCAGGCAGAGGAGTCGGAGACGCACCTTCTCCTACTGTTAGGAGTCCCACAAAAACCCAAGTTAACGGCCATAACATACGCAGAGGACCTGGTGTAGACCATGCAGGCCCTGTGCTTGCTGCTTCAGCCTCTGTGAGCTCCTATGAGCCCTGCTTAGTTGGTTCAGTGGGCCATGTTCTCCTGGTGTCCTTAACCCCATCTGGTGCCCACAAAGATTTCCAGTTTAGACTATCCACACAATGTCTGGCTGTGGGTCAAATAAAATTTTATTTTAGGGTGTATTGGATAATATAAATTTTTATTTTATGTTTGGGTGTATGACCTGTGTATCTAGCTTGTGTGCCTGCTGTCCAGGAGGCCAAAAGAGGGCGTTAGTTCCCCTGGAATTGAAGTTACAGACAGTAGTGAGGCCCCACTCCCTTTTGTGGATGTTGGGAATTGAACCTGGGTCCTCTGAAATATCACCCAATGCTCTTAATATCCAGACTGTCTGTCCAGACTTAATTCCATCTTTTTATTGTATATGGGTGGTTGTAATTTTTTGAAAATAGGTATAGGTGATCATAATACTAATTAGTGTATAAACTTTTAAAGTCTTTTCAATGTAAGAAAATAGTTGCATTTATTTATTTATTTTATAAAACAAAAAAATATTAGTGATGATGGTCTTACTAGCTTCTGATAAGTCCTGTCCTACTTCTGCTCATGGTTTAAATGCCGTTTTGTGCTTTTGACCATTTTCCACCTGAATGTGAAATGAATTAGTGTCATTAGGGTTTTGTTGTTGTTGGGATGTTTTGTTTGAGATGGGATCTTGTTATGTAGCTCTGGCTGACTTGGAACTAACTATGTGGACCAGGGTGGCCTCAGACTTAAGGTGACCTCTTGTCCATACCTCCCATGTGCAGGAGTGGAAGGCATGTGCCATCATACCTGGCCGCCACAGTTCTCAGAAGAGCCCTGTTTTTGTAAGTCGTGTAGTCTGGGTGATGCTCTGACTAACCAGATGCCCCTATAGTCATGAAGTCTCTCAGTGTCACTGTTGTGAATAAGCATTCACATCCTTGGCTGTGTTACTGGCACGTCCTGGAGTCAGTGTAAGATTCCTTCTTCCTGTAGTTTACTTAATTGCTCTTTTAGCATCTTAATATTTCCACCATTTGTAGCTTCTATCTTGGATGATAGCTCTGAGCCCTCACATATTACTGTTTGGAGCCAATGATAACCAACTGTTACATAGTCTCCGGAATTCCTTTCAGCTAATCACTTTATTAGAGACAGCAAGTAGTTAGATGAGATACATTGCTGTTCTTCCTGTGAACGATTACTGGAACAGGAGTCTACCAGACCTTCTGCCTTCTGTCCTCACCAAATAGGCTGTGACTTCCCTTACACTTCCATCTAATCCACAGTCCCACTGAACAAAATGTAGGCTATCACTTCCTGGTGCTCAGAAACTCCAGGAACCCTCCACCATGTTGGGCCTGAAGCAGAACCAGGCAGTACTAAGTATGCTGGATTGTCATGGCCTTAATGTTTTGAAGCAGTTGGCCTGTGTAAACCTGTTCATGTTATGTCAGAGTCCCCATTTTGAGAGTTTCTGTAACAGCATTTGGCCAGTGATGACTTGACCTTTTCTTTTTGATAGGGTTTTTCTTTCATGCTGTTTGTCTTAACTGTTCTATGTGGCAGACAGCTATTCTAGTGATCTCTTGACCTTCCTGTTCTTACTACTGACTGTAGACCCGCGCTTGCTGGGCAGGCAGGCCAGTGGAGTGTCCTCAGTGCTGTCTGAACACTGTGGATCTCAGGTGCCAGTTTCTTACCCACACTTTAATGATGCTTTGGTTCCTCCCAGCACTGATGAACCTTGGCTCCTGGGCCGCTCCACGCAGCCATTGTAACACAGCTGTTTCCACTGCTTGACCTACCTGGATAGCTCATATACTGTGATCTGAATCACAGTGGAGACACTGAACCCAGCTTCATTCAGTTATGAAATTTAAAAATAAAAGTCTTGTGGTCTGATTCTATGGAGACCCTTCCCCAAACACACCTTTTGTATCCTGGTGCAGGAATCCTTAGTAAAAGATGTGTGAGCCATACTTGTTCAATTCAGTTGAGCTATTGCCTCCTACAAAGCCATTTATAATTTTGTGACTGATATTAATATATTAATGGAATTAATTCTAAGAAGCAGTTAAGCCCCTGTGATAAAAATGGCACTTGATGCCGGGTGGTGGTGGCGCACGCCTTTAATCCCAGCACTCGGGAGGCAGAGGCAGGCGGATTTCTGAGTTCGAGGCCAGCCTGGTCTACAGAGTGAGTTCCAGGACAGCCAGGGCTACACAGAGAAACCCTGTCTCGAAAAAACCTAAAAAAAAAAAAAAAAAAAGGCACTTGACTGGGAATGTGGAAAGTACTTTCTTCTACAGATACAATACTGATGCTTTTTTTTAAAACTTTAAAATGCAAAATAATGATAGTTTTGATGAAATATTAGTACAGGCAGGAGAGTAGTTTAGCCATGTGAAACTTATATTTTGTTTCCCCAGGTGTGTTTCCACTGTCGACAGCCTGGCCATGGGGTTGCTGACTGCCCAGCTGTTCTAGAGAGTCAGGACATGGGCACCGGCATTTGCTACCGCTGCGGGTCCACGGAGCACGAGATGACGAAGTGCAGAGCTAACGTGGACCCCGCGCTTGGTACGTTCTCACTTAGCTTCCTGTTTGGTGCTGAGGGAAGGTGACATTAAATAGCCAACTTGGTAAAAAGATGTCTTTTCTATTTACAGTGTTTTAAAGTGGTGTGAACTATACAGCTTGCCATATACACAATAAAATAATGAGAACATTGAATCTTACAGGTGAATTTCCTTTTGCAAAATGTTTTGTCTGTGGAGAAATGGGACACCTGTCCAGATCCTGTCCTGATAATACAAAAGGAGTCTACGCTGACGGTAAGTGTCGCTACCCTCACGTCTCAGACATGTGCACCATTGCTCAGAATTTCGATCTGACATGTTTTATCTGTTTTTTTAATACATTGTTGAAAAGGTGGAGCCTTGCATGCCTTTACCAAGTACTTACTCTGTGCCGGGCTACTCGTGTGCTCTAGTCTGATTTATTAATAAATCAGGAAAAACTATGACATAATTCTCAGACTCCTTGCTTCATCATTATTTGTGAGAAAATATTTAACACTGTGGGTGTTAAAGCTCAAAAGAAGCACAGAGTTTCAATCTCCGAGTAGTAAAAGATTCCAAAAGGAATGCAGTGTGCTAATGATGTCATTAGCCTGGCATTCTGCTAGAGACGATGGTGTATGTTGTCCTGTTTTGTTGTGATATTTGTTTCTGAAATTTCTCCTTACTCATGACCCGGGGCTTCATGTAACTTTCTTGTCTTTGGCTCAGCTAATGACTTAAGAGCCTGCAATAAGCGCTGTTGTATTTGAAGACATGCAGGAAGGGATTGTGCCTGTTAAGGAGAGAGCTGGTGTCGTTGGGTCTTAGGCATCTTGTGCCCTATCTTGAGGTCCTGCTTCCCAAGGGTCCAGTAGAAAAACAAGTAGCTCTTGGACTCAGACTCAGTACCACTCATCAGCTGCAGGTCTTTGCCAAATTAGTGAACTGGTGTTGCCTCAGTTTGTCACCTGTAAAATGAGATAAGGAAATTTGGTTTTACTGATTCTAAGATCCACTTTCCACCGTTTTATATCTGAAGTCAGAATGTATCTTGCCGTTGGGGGGTCCTGTATGATTGACATCTTTGTTGCCTAGTGAAGTGATGACACACTTTACAATCAGTGGCATCTTGGATCTTGTTCAGTTATGGCCTTCATCATTTTTAAAGTGTGTGCATTAGTCAAGGGCCTCTTTTGTCTTCACCTTGGCATGAAGAAGGGCCTGGAAAGCTGACTTGTGAACAAGAATGGCTTTTCATGGTTAGCCAGATTTTGTTGTTGTTGTTGTAAAGCAAGAGAAGTACATCTGACACATGGCAGACAGGTTAACATCCTATGGGGACACTTTCTGATGAGGCATTTCACACAAGCATGATCATGAGAGGCCTGATTATTATGTGAAACACCCTTGCTGGAAAAAGCCACATGTTGTAGTTCACCATCCTGAAATATTGCCTAAGTTAGACAGATGGGAGTATTTTTCCAGGTTAGCAGGACAAGCAGATGAAACAAATTTACCTGAGTAAGTGACACCCCACCTGACCTATTAGGTAGAGCAGTGACGCTTCCTAACCTTTTGGGGTCCACTGGATGGAAACTGTGGGCATCCTCCTCAGGGTGCACACATGTACCTGCGTACAAGTGTTAGTCCAGGTGAAGGCTCCACACCATGACTCTCTCCGTGAGTTCCCTCTACTGTGCTTTCTGTCATGTCCCTCTTCTTCACTTCTGTCTGGAAGGTCAGGTACAAGAAGGAGAGGCTCAGTACCTGTGAGTGTTTAGTAATTTGGGAGTGGCAAGTGAATTACTAAAAGGAGTAGTGGTACCCACTGCTTCCTGACTCCAGCTGCCTCTACAGTCATCGGGGAGGTGGGATCAAATAGACATGAAATTACTCATGAATGCTGCAAGCCCTGTCAGGGTGATATAGCACTCAGTGACTCTGTTCTTTTACTAGGTGGTGGCTGTAAACTCTGTGGCTCCGTGGAACATTTTAAGAAAGATTGCCCTGAAAATCAGAACTCAGGTGAGCTCCTAGACTTCCATTTGTAAGGGGTGTTTCTCTCTGCACTGAGTTCCATTAGTAACAACTCAGAGAGGCACTGGTGACTGCAGACAGCTGCTTCTTGTTTTTTTTTTTTGTTTTTTTTTTGTTTTTTTTTTTTGTTTTTTGAGACAGGGTTTCCCTGTATAGCCCTGGCTATCCTGGAACTCACTCTGTAGACCAGGCTGGCCTCGAACTCAGAAATCCACCTGCCTCTGCCTCCCAAGTGCTGGGATTAAAGGCGTGCGCCACCACCGCCCGGCCATAGACAGCTGCTTCTGTACTATGAGAGTGACCTTGCCACTTCCTGTGAGCAGTCAGCACAGCCTTGAGTCCCTGAACGTGAGATCTGCTCTCGGGGTAGTGAGCTGGTTCTGCAGGAGTCTATTCTGAAAGGCGTCTTAAAAGCTTTCCTGTTTGCTCAGAAATGAAAGTAATTATACTAGGACTTATTTTCTTACTTAGCAAAACCATATTGGTTCCTAAGATAAAACTCATTCCTAAGCCTGAGGGTCCTCTTGTGCTTTGCGTGTTCCCAGATGACTGTAAAACACTGTTAAACTTATTAAAAATGTGTTATCAACACAGCATCTGCTGGTCCTTTTTTTTTTTTGGTGAAATATTAGCCTTGATCATTAAGAACTTGGTAAGTGTTCACGGCTGCTTGCAGCAGACTTCTGAGGAAGGGAGATCAGTATTCCCTTAGTTTGCCAGGATTAGATATAATAGAGATAACTTTGTATTAAAGCCAAACAGGCTTGGGGATGTGGCCCAGGCACGAGGACCTGTGTACGGCCCTCAGAACTGACTAAGAAGCTGGGAGTGGTGGTGCATGCAGTAGTCTGAGCACCAGTGAGACACAGGGAGGTGGATTCCTGGGGCTTACTACGCAGTTAGACTCCCCTGCCTGTTGTGCTCCAGGCCATTGAGAGACTCTGTCTCAAAATCAAGGTAGATGGTGCTTACGGAATGACTCCTGATTGTATCCCGGCCTCCTTATGCTTACACACACATGTGCATGTGTACCCCAACACATGACCTCACATGCATACACACACCAAAACTAGAAGTAAGGAAAGGAGAAGGACACCCCAGGAGAGCTTCTTAGAGGAAAAGCATGTTTCTCTTCATTTTCTGTAGTCCGAGCTCATGACTCAGTCCTCCCAGTTTGACTCTCTTGCCCAGATGTTTAAATGTGAAATCCAGGAGTTCTTGTTTATCAGAAGGAGATCGTCTTTCTATGGTGTAGGAGTGAGACTGAAATGATGAAGTGGGGTTTGAATTCTCCCTCCTGGGAGCATTGCCACTTCCCAAATGGCAAAACTGACAAGCAGATGCTGTATAATTTTGCAGGTGGAATCTCGTGCATTTAAAACGGATGCCTCCTAACTCTTGCTGTTCGTGGGCTCTTGGAATCATTGAGTCCTCAGTGATGAACTCAGGGAAGGAGTGGGGAGCGCTCTCATCAGTCTGTGCATTGCAAAGTAGCTGCCACATTTCCCTAATTGGGATGAGAAATTGCCTGTGGTACTCGGAAATCAAGGATTCCAATCAATTACAGAATTGCTCACTTTCCTGCAGTGATGGAGTCGTCTCTGCTTGTGATTATTCATGTCAAAACTAGTTCCTCTGCTAAACCGATACCACTCGAAGTGGAAGCATTTGATTACTGTTGTTTTTATATCTTGATTTTTTTTTTTTAAATCTCTCTACAGATCGGATCATCACAGTTGGTCGCTGGGCAAAGGGAATGAGTGCAGACCACGAAGATGTACTGGACGTGCCCAAGCCGCAGAAACCTAAAACCAAAGTACCCAAAGTTGTTAATTTTTGATAAGAATTGGTACAGTTGTTAAGTACCACCTCAAGGTTATTCTCCAAAGTAGACCATTAGAAATGAAAACTGGGCACCTGTGGAGGCAAACCTGCATTATAGACACCACTCTGACCTTGATCGGGGCAGGTTGTTTACAATCTTATCTGTCAAGGAGTACAGGGTGATTAGGAGTGTGTGTGTGTGTGTGTGTGTGTGTGTATTGTCTTTCTGTCTGTCTGTGCCTGTGTGTCTGTCTATATTTGAAACAGATTCTGTGTAGCCCAGGTTGGCTTCAAACTAATAACCCTGCTTTAGCGTCCAGAGTACTGAGATTACAGGCAAGGTGACTAAGAACATATTTTCACAGATGTAACTCAGAAATAACTAAGTGCCTCTATACCTGATTGTAGCAGTCATCGATATACATGTAAATTATAAATCAAAATTGACCCCTAAGCAAAGCACATGCCTTTCAGCTTGTGAATAAATAAATAAATAAATATTTTGTTATATGCTCTTAATTCAGAGTATCAATTTATTGTAATAGAAATTTATTTATATGTTGTCACAAACTCTGCAATTTTTAATACTGAATAAAATTATATGAGCTGTTTGTCTTTGTTGATCTGGTCATTGATAATCTCACTCTAGAGTCCCTTTAAAACCAATATTGTTTCCAAAACTAATAAAATAAAAGCCTTAATAGAGATAAGCAAGGGCCTGTTTAGTTTTGATACAAGGAATTAGAAAGGAACGCCAGCATGACAGCTCTTTTTCACCTTCAGTTTTTCAAGAGAGAAATTCCAGCCAGAAAGTCAATGTGCATTCCTCAGACAGAGTGACAGCATGACAGACTGTTAGTCTCCCCGAGCTGTGCTCGCCTGCTGTAGATGAGCCAGGGTGTGATGGAAGGAAGCATCACCATCATAGAGTTAGAACACTAATCAGAGGCCCATTAGCTTCTTTGTCTGATTTGATGAATACATGCATATTTAACATATATTCCACAAGCCCTGCCATGCCATTGTGCAGCATAATGGAATGACTGGTGGTTTCTGAGTTTCATCTCAAATTCTACCTGATTGAATCCATTTGTAACTAAAGGAAGCAGCTGTGATTAGTTACTGATGCCTCAAAAGCTAAATATTTACCAAATAAGAAAAGAAACACGGCCTGTGTTTTCATGTCTGCACAGCCTAACAGTTCTAGTCTTAATAGGAACTGTTCTTTTATTTTTGGTGAGGGAAAAACATGATGACAAAACATTGCTCAGCATCCCGGAGCTTAACGTAGAGTGCCAGCCCCACCACTGGAGACGGTGGATGCCGCTAGAGCACAGACGCCTGCATCCCCAGGGAGCAGCGGGAGTATTCGTTCCCTGAACAGTTCTCACTGCAACAGTGCTGGTGGCCCCTTTGCCTCCAAAACCAGTAAACATAAACAGATGTTGAGGGCAGCGTTTGAAAAGTGGACAGATGCTGCAAGGAAGGTCCTGGAGGCAGGGATGGTAGGGCACCGGAATGATGGGCTAGCTCTTCTACTGGGAACGCTGGAGAAGCTTGACATTTACTCTGTCCACCCAGCATGCAAGCTCTGCTTGTTCTCAGGCACTGGGAGCATGGCCATGAACAAACAAGGCCACGTCCTAGTAACCAGGCTGTAAAGAGTGAAGGTGGCTTGGGGAAGATATCAGAAAGGTGGGTTCGACTACATTATCAGGATGTTTCGGGCTGGGGAGATGGCTCAGTGGTTAAGAGCACTGCCTGCTCTTCCAGAGGTCCTGAGTTCAATTCCCAGCAACCACATGGTGGCTCACAACAATCTATTGTGGGATCTGATGCCCTCTTCTGGCATGCAGGTGTACATGTATATAGAACATTCATATACATAAAATAATGAATCTTACCCCATAAGGTTTAGCTAGTATTTTATCTCTTAGGCCTTTGTTCACCTGATTTTCTCTTCTAAGTGCATCCGGCACCTTTCTTCAACAGGCCCCTGAGTACATACATCCCTGGTTTCCTCAGACAGTTCCAATTGGCCGCTCCACTGACACAGCAAACTCAAGTCCACCTGCAGTTAACAACTTGCTCAGTGCCTTTCTTGTTCCTTTTCGTTCACCACAGTTATGCTCCAAGCTGCCAGCCTTGACACAGCTTCTCAGCTTGACAAGCCCCTGTTCTCTAGCCACACCCTCCCCTTACTCAGCTCTCCTGCTGGCTCTCAGTGTCTGCAAGCTGCCCTCTTTGGAACAGCCCCTTCCTCCTCCTGATGGTTTCCATTCCATTGGTCCACCTTTAATCCATTAATTTAAATCCTACCGAGGACTTTCTTTGGAGCCCTTACTCTAGCTTAGAGGCCATAAGAAAGCAGGACTTGTATGGTTAGTTATTTCTGGATTCCCAAAGGTGTCCACATAAAAGAACCGTTCACATATGTCCAGTGGTTGAATTCCATGAATGTGTGAGGTGACGGTTAATAAACAGATGACGCTGTTGCTGGGAGCTGCTTCACGTGGGATAATCCAGAGAAAAGTTTTAGGAAGATTTTTCCTGAAATCTGAATGACAGGAAAAAAGAATCACCATGAATCTATGCAGAAAAACATCTCAGAAGAGGGAAGGCAGAGCCCATGGAGTGCGAACAAGGTTGCCATATTTGAGGACCAGAGAGATAATGTGTGTGGTTAAAACGATGGAAAGGTGCCCTTCAGGGTGGTCTGACCACTCCATTCCAAATGGGACCATTGCTTCTACTCTCAGACTAGCACTCCCTCCTTTTCCTTCTAGGCAAGCCTGTAGGTATAAGCTAGGATCTGGTTGTGGCTCCATTTTCCTCTTAGCAGTGTTTAGCTGGGCATCCTTTTATGTGCTTACTAGCTCTTTGTGTGACATCTGTGGATGTTAAACAGAAAACACAAGTACCATCCAGTCCTAGGTTCTTTGTATTTTTCATGGAAGTGCCTGATCAGATTGAAGATTTGAGCATGTTTTCATGTTCCAGCTCCTGCAAGCAGCAGAGCTTGGCAGCTTTGGCCATGTGGCTCTGGCTTTTTTATTTTGTGAAAAATAGAAGGGACTACTGGGACAATTGATGTTGTTAGCTGGAGCTAAGAAATTACCAGTGATTAAGAAGAGACCAGCATCACTGAGGAGAAATCTGGGAAGTGTTTTCTGAGAGCACAAAGAAGCTGTGTTCCAGAGATAGCCAAGGTTGTACCTCGTGCTGCAGCTATACTTGGTAATGTGTAAGAGTCACCCAGGTGGAACTGGTTTATTGAAGGCATAAGGAGATCATGAAGAGCAGCTGAGGCTCAGCACTGTGAGAGGCCATGGAAGGCCGTTGGTGAAGGTGTCGTCTCAGTTGCAGTTGACTGCCCAGGACTGAAAGGGACATAAAAAGAATTTGAGGCTTGGCACCATGAAGAGAGCCTGTGAGAAGCTACTGGTGAAGCCTAGTTGCAGCAGAAGACTCCATTGTATTGTAGATGCCAATACCATGGGATGATCACCAAGAACAGCAGCAGCAGTGGAGTGGATCAACCTGAGCTTAGAGTGCTACAGAGGGCAGAGCTGGAGAAGTGACGGCAGCCCTTTGGAGGAGCCTAGAAGGTCATGTGTGGATCCCAGACATAGAAACAAAAGCTCTAATATTGAAGTTACCTTGGTGCCCCCAGGATGTTAGAGATGCCAGAGTCTTGGGATATCTGCTGAGGAAAGCTGCTAACAGGGAGTGGAACCAGCCCAGGGGAAAGGACTTTGTTATAGTCAACAAAGACAGAAAGGAGTGGAGATCTAAAGACTGCTTTGACATCAGACATTATGTGCAGAGTTTGGAGTCTGCCCAGCTTGTTTTCTGTCTTGCTTTGGGGATTACAGTTAAAGTGATTAGATGAATCTCAGAAGAGACTTTGAACTTTGGACTTTTAACATTGTTAAGACTGCTAGACTATGAGGACTTTGAAATTTGGACTAAATGTACTTTTTATTATGCTATGGCTTGGTACAGTCCCCATAGACACATGTGTTTGAACAAACCTATGGAGGCCAGGGAGTGGAATGTGATGGTTTGTATATACTTGACACAGGGAGTGGCACTATTTGAAGGTGTGGCCTTGTTGGAGTAGGTATGTCACTGTGGTCATGGCTTTAAGACCTTCATCTTAGCTCCCTGGAAGCCAGTATTCTGCTAGCAGTCTTCAAATGTAGAACTCTCATCTCTGCCTGCACCATGCTTGCCTGGATGCCACCATGTTCCTTCCTTGATGATAATGGACTGATCCTTGGAACTTGTAAACCAACCCCAATTAAATGTTGTCCTTATAAGAGTTGCCTTGGTCATGGTGTCTGTTCACAGCAGTAAAACCCTAACTAAGACAATGTCCAACCGCATCCTTTTGCATACACTGTTCTTGAACAGTGTATTTACTTACTTACTTACTTACTTACTTACTTACTTACTTACTTACTGTTTATCTCTGGGTCTGGGTGTGCAATTGCACCCACCTGTGTATGCTCCTGTGAAGTGCAGAGATCATTGTCAGATGTCCTCCTCTCTGCTCTCCTACATTTTCCATTGTGTGTGTGTGTGTGTGTGTGTGTGTGTGTGTGTGTGTGTGCATGTGTATTTTAAGACAGAATTTCTCATTGCAGCTGGAACTTGCTATTTTGGGTAGCCTGGCTGGCCACCTGACCTAGAGAGCTGCCTGATTCTACCAATCCTCTACCCCCATCACTGAGGTTACAGGCTTCACTGCCATGCCTGATTTTTATAGGGGAGTAGAGATCTAAGCTCAGGTCCTCGTGCGTGAACAATATGTTATATCCACATATGTAGTTATATATGTATTATAACTTCCATAATGTTTTGTGGGATTCCTGAGTGTGTGGATAAGTGGCTTTCTGAGTATTTGTTTGTTTCTTGTCCCTTCTCTTGGGATCTCTTCTCTCTGTTTGCTTGTTTTGTCCTATTCCAGTGGTTGTTTTTGTTCCATCATATCATATATCATGATTCCTTAGAGGCCTCTTTGCTTTATAATGAAAGACAGAAAGGGGGTGGATTTAGATGAGGGCAGGTCAGGAGAAACTGGGTGGTGTAGAAGGAAGAAGAAAAATTTACTACCTCATAGTAAGAGTGAAAACTGGAGATAGCATGTGACTTCTGTGATGTGAGAAGAAAAATCCTTTTCAGTTTAGAACTCTACACATTGAAATGGTATGTAAAGAACAAGAACAAACAGAACAGATCACTGAAAGCAAACTTCACTGTTGCCTTTGAGTAGAAGTGAGATTGTATGAGGAACCAAGTCTAAGGTGAAGAAAGAGAGATGAGAGCCCATCCTGGGAGCTGGCCTGAGGACCATGTGTGGGAAGATGACAACCAACTTCTTCAAAGTTACCTTCTACTTCCACATGTGCACCATAGGGCACATGTGTGCATGTGCATGCACACACACAACACACACACAATACATGCATACATGGAATCAAAATTAATAAGAAAAACAATACCAGTATGCAAGTGCACAAATTGGATAACTTAAACCAAGAAATAACACAGACAACAGCAGGTTGTGTTTTACCCTGTGTTGAACCTGACTAGGTTCAGCCACTGGAAGGTTTATGGGCTCTGCATTTGAGAGGACACAGTCCATCCTGGCAGCAAGGCATGGTGGTGCGGTGTGAGGCAGATTGTGCAGGAAGCAGCGAGTGTAAGAAGTGGAGCTGAGCTAAGGAACCTTAAGGTCCACCCAGCGATCCACTTCCTCCAGCTCTGCCCCATGCCGAGGCCCTCCCCTAGCTGTGCACTAAGTGTTTAAACATGAGCCTAGAGATACATTCCACATGCAAACCACAACAGAGTATAAACTTGGCAAGTATTTCAGTGAATGTGTGATAAAAATTCTTCCATTATAAAAGGATACAAATATACTTGGAACTTTTAGACTTTAACAGTAAAATGAGGATGTTGGGGAAAGGGTTATTTTAATTCACAGATAATTCATTGAAAACTTGGTATGTACACAAATACTGGGGTTATAACAATGAACAAGGCAGAAATCTTGGCTTTTGTAAAGCTTACATTTTATTGAAGGTGACAGAAAAAAATGATATAAGTGTATACGTTAGACAGTGGGAAAGAGGGAACCTAGAAGTGCAGCGGGCATTCTTAGGGGAGAGAAAAGATACACTTAACATGACTTTAATACAAAGACTAGAGAGAAGCCTGGGTTTTCCCAGTGGGTGACGAGAGATCAGTTCACTTATGAGGTAGGAGCAAGCCGAGGCTAAGGAACAGCAAGGAGGTCTGTGAACGTAATTCAGGGGCTCTTTATTGCCCTATGTAATCTCCCAAATAAATGACATGGAGACCTTGTTAACAAGCTTTAAGCACTATAGCTGGGCAGATAGTCATCTGTTCTTCCCCTCTATGAAGTGGCTGGAAAAGGGTGAGAGGTAAGCTAGTTGGAGAAGGCCAGGTAGCTAATAGGAGTCATGTCTTCTGAGCTGTATCCATCAGTGTCGCTGTTTAATGCAACCGTGAGTTAGAGGTCTTGGTTGGGCAAGTTCCACAGATCTCAAGTAGGAAGGTCTGCATCCCTTAGCCCTTTGGTTGGAAGTTACTGATCTCGGCTGGCCTTTGATAAAACCACGCTATTATTCATCTCTCTCTGCCTTTCCCCAAACCAGCCGTCAACCCTGATATGTGTGTCCCAAGATAGTGTCAAAGGTGTCAAAGGACAAGGCCATTTGCAAAACATCCTTCAGGCCTTTGGCTGCATCATGTCTGCTAATATTGTGTTGAGGAATTAGATGGCTAAGCTTAGAGGCAGGTGATAAGAGAGTTCATTCAGTGCATGGAGGCAGGGATGGCAGCGAGAGAACAGCTCTAAAGAATAAAGTACTACACAATCACACAGAGCCTTGGGAGACACTGGCCGTTCCTGTGATATGCGGAATTGCTCACCATAAGGGAACATGACATGAGAGGCTAGACTGGGGACAGAGTGAAGGAAGAGCTGTAGGAAGATGATATCCAGATAAGAGAAGACAGTGGTTTGACTTGGTGTTGTGTTGGTTACATTTATTTTATTTTAAAGATTTATTTACTTTATGTATAAGAGTACACTGTTGCTGTCTTCAGATACACCACAAGAGGGCAGAGGATCCCATTACAGATGGTTATGAGCTACCTTGTGGTTGCTGGTATTTGAACTCAGGACCTCTGGAAGAGCAGTCGGTACTTGCTCTTAATCACTGAGCAATCTCTCCAGTGGTTACGTTTATTTAAAGTGTTCAGATTCTAGTAATATTGTTTAACATAGAAATGATTTACTGGGGCGGGGCAGGTAGATTTAGCTTGGACAGGCAGCAGACTTGAGGGTTTTAAGGACACTGACTTTGAGACGACAATGTCTTGCTAAAAGCTCAAGTATATAATTAGCTGATAGGGTTAGGACGGGTTAAAATAAGATGCAGAAGTGGGAGTCACTGGTGAACATTGAAAACCCTGAGACAGATGGACTGGTGGAGGCTAGAGACAGGAGAGGGGACCAAGGACGGAGCCCTGCTGTCCCCTACTATTGCTAGGTCTGATGGAGTGGGAAAGGTTGAAGAGCAGGCTTCTGAGACTGTAGTTAGGGAGTAGGAGAGTGGAAAGAAGTGGGGAGACTGGGAAAGGTAAGAGAAATTGTTCTGGGCTGACGTGGAGAGATTCCAACCCTGGTGATCAGAAGGGAGCTGAGGCAGAAGGGGGGTAGACGGGACTGTGAGAAGACACCTGCTTACAGGACCACACCTTCTGGGGAGGGGGTTGTTTCTAAAGTCCATGTTCTGGATCTGCAGGAGACAGACACTCTCAAGTCCGTGTGCGTTAGGACGCATGCCGAGAGAGTCATCAGGGCCCTGGATGTCTGAACTGAGACAAGTCTACAATTTCCAGCTGCTCACAATGGAGGCAGACAATTGGGAGAGTCCCACCACGGTCGGGATCTCCCACAGACTCTAAGCCGGGCATGGAAAGGAGAGAACAGTCAGTAGTCATCCTATTTTTAAATGTTTGTTTATTTACCTATTTACTTATTTGTTTATTTTACATCCCGATCACATTTCTTAAAAGGCCACGAAACCAAAACTGAACGATGGCCTCAGTGCACATATGTGAGGCTGTATACACACCTCATCCTCACAGGTAGAAAGTGAGAAAGAAGTTCCCAATCTAAGATTTCTCTGAGTAGTGAGAAGAGAGCTGAGTTAGGACCAGGAAATGCAAGGGGTCTGAGACTCTAAGTAAGCAACCATATAAATCTGATATATCAATATATCAAAGGACATGTGATCCTTTGATCAGGCTCAGAGGGCCATCTTGCTTGAGGCTCTGCATGTGTGTCCCTTTCTTTGGCTCAGCAAGCCTAGCAGAGATGACAAGCTGTGCTGAAATGGATGCTCCAGACACAGGGGCTTGTGAGACCCTGGACCTTGTATTTTCTGAGCAAGTGGCAAGCACTGTGTCAGCAGGAAGGAGCCAGCCCGTTCCACCGACTTCTGTCAGAGTTAGACGTTGACGTCCTGACGTCATACAGTGATTATCTTCACCTGCTACTAGGAACTAGGGTACAGATGCCTCCGACTTTCACAGACCATGAGAGAGATGCCTGCCCCAATGGTTCCAGTTAGTTTCAAATGAAAGAAATAATGAATAAACAAATTGTTGTGAATAAACAATATTTTGCTTTAATAAACTATCCCAAGCTGTAAAACATACTCCTTTACATAAACCTTGTAAACATGTTTTCAAAATTATCCCTTAATCTCCGCCAATAACAATGTGTTAAGCTAGTTCTGGAAGAAACCATCCCTCTTGCCCACATTTCCCCTTTCCTCACCCTGCTGAGACTCTGTGAGAGATCATGTTCTCACTCCCTGAAAATCACCCATATCTCCGTCTCACTCAGCTTCTCCGACAAAGTCCCAACTCTGGCAGGGTTCTCCTAACACTTCACTTCCACTGTGAGCTGGAACTAGGAGCTGAATAGTGTGAGGCTGTATTAAAAACGTATTCTAGTTTATTATAATTTTATTAAAATCAGTTATCGTTTTCCACAGACAGTTGATTACCAGGGAACTCACTCTCTGATCAATTTTCACGTTTCTTTCTCTAGATCTCTTTCTATGACAGAGGTGAAAGGAAAGGTACCGCAGACAGCAACTCAGTTGCATAAAGAAAGCCGGGCAGACTAAAGAAAAATAAGGCTGCTTTTTAAACCCAAAACCTTTCAGTCTTGTTTGAAGCACTGGAAAACACCTTTAACATTCTGTAAAAATACCACAAGACTTGAAAGGGAAACCTACCCTAATCCCCTCTCTTTTTAACCACCCGAGTTGTGGGCTTTAGTAAAGGAATTGACACAGGGCAGTGATATTGGAGCATGCACTTCACATGAAATCATGAATGAGAAAACTGGGTATAGGGCTTGGTCAACTGCTAACATTTCTCTTTGAGTAATTATCACTCTTAGTGTCTTTTTACAGTGTTCTCTAATCATGTAAAGCCGAGCATGTTTCTAATGAAATCTGCATTTAAGTGACTTCCATTTTTTGATCTTTAAAACCATGTTTTTAATGTATTCTTTGATAATTTTATATATTATACAACAAAGTATGAATATATCCACCCCCGTCTCCCCCACCCAGATCCCCCTTAGTGCCCCCAACATGCTCCACTGTGGGTTTCATGTCATTTTTTAAAAATTTAAATAGCACACAAAGTCCAATTAGTACAGCCCAAACGTACATGGGTGTGGGGTTGTGATTGTGAGCAACCTGCCTTGGCCACCCCTCTCCCCATAAAACAAAGCGAGTCTCCCTTCCCGAGGAGCTATCACCAGCCATTAACTCTTTGGTAGGCCTTGTGAAATGCTTCCCCATCCAAAATATCACCTTTTCTGTCCCTGTTCCTCAGCAGGCTGATATCTGCTGAGGAAGTCAACTGCTTACTTTCGAATATCCACGTTTGCTTAAAGCCTGGGCACTGGAGGGAGGGATGTAGTCTTTGGGTCTCACTTGGTTCTTTGCTTTTCCTAGAATGTGCCAGAAGCATTGTCCATGGGATTTGTCCATGGGAGTTGTCCAGGACTGACCCTTTGGTGGATATGGGTCTCTCTCTCTGTCTGTCTCTCTGTCTGTCTCTCTGTCTGTCTCTCTGTCTCTCTCTCTCTCTCTCTCTCTCTCTCTCTCTCTCTCTCTCTCTCTCTGTAGGTGTGTGTGTGTGTGTGTGTTTGGTTTGTGCTCACGTGTCTCTAGTCACCACAAAATCAGTCCTCCCAGCACCCATCTCCCTCGCCCTGCTTTACCTTCCCAAATAGCAGGTCTTCCAACATTGCGTATCATTTATTCATTTTATTTATGTATAATAAGTTCATTCCAACTGCTTGCAGAAGCTGCAGAGCACTGAGGTACCTAGCAGAAAAGATCTCAGTACAGTGAATGGAAATACGTGACCCACAAGGATAGCTCACTGTAAGGTAAAGGGACTCATGGTAAAACCTGATGACATCTGTTCAACCTCTGGGATCCACATGGTAGAAGGATTGAGCTGGCTCCCACAAATTGTTCTCTGATCTACACACAGGTTAGTGACAATGCCCCTACCAATCAGATGATCACACAGAAAACAAATTAAATGTCATTAAAAGGCTTTTAAGACAATGCAAACCCAGGGCTATTGTGGTTAACAATGAATGTTCTGTAACATTGTTTTGGACACTAGGTTTAGTTTTGAAACAGCCAAAGAAGACCAAGGAAGGAGGTTAAGTGAAATTGGGGAAACAGTGAGACCTTCCTACTCCCTAGAAGTCGGACAAACTGAACAGTCCGTGAAGATGGACATGTCTCATGCCTGGACTCAGACTGAACAGTGTAGATGGTCATGTCTCGGGCCTGCACCTCCCATTTTCGTTGGTGCCAACCTCATGCAACCAGCAGTACTAGAATGGTGGCTGGTGGCTGAAGACCTGCTTCTACAAATTCATTTAGTTTTAAGGCATTAGTGAGGGTAACGATGAATGTAGGTGGGTGTAGACGATGTCCGTGTCACCTAGCCAACCCAGTGTGCCTATCACTTCACCAACCACTGTCTGGAGATAGTCAGTGGAAAATTCTAGAATTATGTAAGTTATAAACTGTTTCCTGCAGCACTTTGTGTATCATGTTGAAATTAGTCCTGTCAGGAGAATGAACAATCATCCTCAGATCCAATGGATCCATGTTTTCCATGCCTGTGTTTGTCATCTACTATCCGTGTCACAATACTGCAGTACTCCTCCTGTTCAAGACAGAAGGCCAACCATACATAGCTAATGCTCCTCACAGCGTCTACAAAATTCACCTCAGCTTAGCTCATTGGTACCAGTAGGCACTGCATCAACTCTACTCCCTTCAGGAAGAAGGGACAAAGGCAAGCCCAGCACGGTAAGACATTGTCAGGAGGAGCTCATATTCCCAGCTTTTAGTATAAGTGCAGTTATGATGGCTCCATTTTATTAAAGGTTATTGAACACTAAGTTGTCGTGTCATATAAGCCCCTTATTACTAAATCTTTTAACTTTTAGAATTAAAACATTTCCAGAAGTTGTTTTAGTTCTAGAATGTTTTATTCTGTGCATCTACTCTTATGATATATAAATAGTAATTTATAAACTTAGAACATGATCTAAAGTTCACATACAGGAAAATCTTAAGGCAGATAAGTAAAAAACTGTACCTAGTCCCAGATTATTCAAGTGGGCATGTGGGAGCAGGCAGGGGAGCAGAGGTGGAGATACGGTGAGCGCAAAGCGGGATAGCCCTAGCCTGTCTCTTGCTCTCAACTCTGATGGCGATCTCCTTCCATTTGTAAAAGTCATCCTTTGAAGAAGGCTCACCCGACACATTCTGTTTGCTCTTATGAGTTAAGACACATCATGGTGTAGAATGATAAATGCTGACATGTAGGCGACAGAGGACTAATGGAATAGAGACAAAGCAGAGGGGCTCACTTCTTATTCTCTCTGTAATATCACACTTTACAGGTGCTCAGCGTGTGCGTGTATAGAAATAGATACTAAATTGGCCATCTACCTGGAATATATGTAAAACGACAAGAGGAAAGTAGTTCCTATTACTAAAACTGATTGGATCCCATTATGTTTTAATGCTTCCTAATTTAAAGTTCTAAAACATGGAATACATCTTCTCAGAGACCCCTGACAAAGGTGTCTGCTGCCCGTGGAATAACTCCTCAGCTTTTAACCCACCATTTTGCATTTCATAAACTCATCACTGCAGAGCACACATTGAGTTTCTGTAATCTAGAGCCGTCTGGGATATGTTTTAACTAGTTTTACCCCATTTTATACATCACATAATATCGTATCTAGGCAATTTCCCAGTGTCCACACAGTGACGCTTTAGACATCTTGTAGTTCAGCTCCAAATCACCAGAATATACTTTGGTTTTTAATCTCTTCATAACTGCGTTTTGCTTAGGCTGATAGTAAATCATTGTATGGTCCTAACGCTTGCCAAGTAAAAAGGCTAAGGACACACTTGGAATTAAATTACAGGTAATTGAGAGTTGACCATTTATAGCACACTTTTCAGTCCATCATGAGTGGCATTCTCTAGAAATTTTATACAAGAGGCTGCGGCTTCCTCAATGGATTTTGACCAGCCACCAATATTGCCAGCAAAATAAGGGAGGATGCTGTCTGACATCTGGTTCAGGTATGCCACCTGCAATAAAGAGAAAATACAGCATGTTGAGTTTTTATTGACTTGGAGAACTTTCAAGCAAGAGACTGAAACTGTTTGTGAATGAATCTGGAAGGAGGGAAGAGGCGTCTTTTAGAGAGGACACACATTATAGGACAGAGATGGATAGGAGATCTGGGGGAAATGAAGGTCTTCTCATAGCCGTGAGAATGAATTAAGGCACAAATAGTTCATCAAACATACAGTGCACGAATTGTTGTCGACAGCTTGGATGAGAAACCCAGCACAAATGACCTCGCTTCTGATGTACTGTAGAGACGGCGGGACAGACGGCAGCACAACTGACGTTAGAGCCACAGCGTAGGTGTTGCTGAAAGACAAGAGCACATGTTCTAACTCTGTGGGAATGCTTGTTAGACAGGGCAGCTCTGTGGTTACCAGCATTTTATTAATCTAGTCTTGTGGTTCTGAGGATTAAATTCAGGGCCTTCTGCATGCTAGGCTATGTTATCCAGTGCTGGCGATATCCCCAATCCTTGGGAAAGTCTCATCGTCCCGGCAGAAGTGAGCTCTGAAAACTGGATTTTCCTGGATGAGTAGTCCACATCAAAAACTCTTCTCTAAAGAAACATTCAAACGTAGGGGATGAGGTAACATCACAAGGCTAGAGTTGCTGAAGTTTTTCTGTGTCCTAACAGGTTGTGATGTCAGTTTCCTGTCATTTTTTTTAATTAAAAAGAAAAGCAACATTCAAACAATAACTGGATACAAGAGACTCAGAAGAAAAAGTGGCCCTTCGGTCTGCCCGAGCTCCAGTCCTACTCCCTGGCTTGCGAATGGCTTTTCTTTCTTACTTTTTGCTAGGCAGCCCTCTAGATTTTATTAATGGGTAGAAGCAGCATTAGCAAACACACACATGCAGATTGTTATACAAATATAGTCACCTTGCAAATACAGCCCGTAACTTGATTTTCCTACTTAACGATAAACATGTTGAGACATTTTTATATTTGTGCTCCCATGACTTCTTTATCCTTGTTGGAGGTTGGACACAGCTCTGTGTTGTGGATTTGTCATCATTTATAAGATCAACATCAATTTATTTGTCTCTTTTGACAAAATAGAAGATGTTACTGTGAGCATCTATGTCCATTAGTCCATACGTGTGGGAGATTACCTGAGGCACTGCTCTTTGGATCCCATGCTCTGTGTGGTCCAGTGTACATGGGAAAGCCATGTTCAAATTCTGGATCCTGGCCCTGGCGCTCAGTGGGAGGCTTAGAAAGTGAATGCAGCAGGGCCTTCGGGAATTCTAAGTCAACTTCTGGTGTCACCACTCCTCTTGCTGACGTTACTGATAACAAGGGATAGATCTTGAAGGTTTTTCTTCAAGACTTTAATTAATATTAAATATTTTATTAATATTATTTTATTAATATTGACTTTAATATCTGAGCAGAGGGAAGCTGCTTTAGAATGCTGATGAATCATTTGCACACAGCTCACAATACATGAATACATATCAAAATGGTGACTGAAGATTCATATATTTAAAACAAACAGGTGAATGCAAATGAAGACTAGAACCATCCATGATGGCTTTCTTGTCTTCATATCCCTTCGTTTGTAGTCTACAACAGACGGAACCGGAATGTCACATGAGGCAAATATACTCACTCATCTTTGAGGGGCTTTCTTCGTGACATAAGTACCACAAAGTCTTTGGGTTTGTCTCCATTTACCACCGAGCAGGTGATGTGATATATCTGATCGTCCTCGCTCACCTGCTCTATGACTTCACAAGATCTGTGCGAACAGAACAGTATTCAGACACGTGCTTTCTACCTGCTAGAATACGGTTTGTTTACTTATTGGCACGAACTCTTTCTTGGCATCTGTATTCACCTGCATGCTGACCCCCAACACACACATAGACACTACTTGAAGGCTGACTTTGGAACAAGCTGCTTGTTCAGAAGGAGTAATTTTTCGTGGGATAGAAAGGTGCCAGCTATCTGGCTCCAAGGTCACTTCCCTCAAAACTCCAGAGGAAGGTAATAACCTTTTCACAAAATCCTTTTTTTTTTTTCTAGGATCAAGTAAAACATTTTGAGGACAAGCGGGATAGAAAGCCAATCCAAGTACTCAGGGAAAGAGACAGACTGTGCTGGGAAGCAACTTTGAAGCTAAACCACGTGCTTTGCTTTTGAATCTCAGACCACTGTGTGCTGGCTGTATTAAGTTAGACAAGTCATATTATTATCTCATCTGTACAATGTAGATAATACTATCTAGGGAGTTATTGTGAGAGCTGAGTGCAAATACTTCCTGCAGACCCTGAGTCTAAGCAGATAGACAAATCAAGTTTAGCTGAATTTAATTGAACTCACTGGTTTCTCCATTCATTCATGTTTCATTTAAATGGAATGCCAAGTGAACCAGAATTGTGAGAGAAGAGTTTGAAAGAAGTTGTTGAAAGGCAAGATATCTTGTCTTTGAGATGCTGCAGTGCTCTGTATCCTAGGAGACTAGGCCTGAGCGTAATCTGTTACTGCAGGGTACAGCACACAAGGTTCAGAGCTCCATAGTCATCCCTAGGACCTGTGACAACACCAAAACCTTTGATGCTCACGTCCCTTACATACAGTGACACAGCATTTTAATTATAACATATGCATAGCCTTCACTTCAGTATGCTCTAAATCATCTCTATTACTTCTGTAATGTAAATGGTATGTTGATAGCTGCTATACTATTTAAAGAATGAAGTAAAAGAAATCTTTCCATGCTTGATGCTGACACAACTCCCCAACACACACACACACAGACACACACACACACATGCATGCACACAAACACATGCACACAGACACACACAAATGCACACACACCCATACACACACACACACACACACACACACACACACACCACTCTTTATCTAAGTGTTCGAATATGCAGATGCAGGACCCATAAATGATCACAATCACATTCCAGCAAAATGGGATGGAAGAGAGAGATCCAGAAACAATGAGACAGAAAGCTGTGGGAGAAAAGTGGGCAGACAGGAGCAGGCCACGACTGGAGCACAGGGAGAGCAGCAAGCATCACAGACAGAAGCAGGCCACAACCAGATGACAGGGAGAGCAGCAAGCATCATCTTCCTCCAGGCCTCACTGCTAACTGAGCAGCTTCTCACTGAGACTTATGGCGTGGCAGAAAGAGAGTTCTGGGAAGACTTTGGATACCTCCTCAAGAGCCATGAGGCTGGGAAGGGAAGAAAAGAGCGTGTGCTACAGAGCCCAGCTGAGCTGGATCTCAGAAATAGGAACAAAATCAACTTTGAAGTTGTCAGTGATATCACAACAGATGTTGACCACCTATGCTAATCAATACAGATGGAAACAGATGAGTGTAATAATTGGGCTTTTTTTTTTAAGTCTCATGCAGCAGCTTAGGCGGAACAAGTTCTAAAATTTCTCTACATTTCTGAAACAATACGCCATGCATTGAGCAGTGGAGAAGAACTACAATTGAAGTTATCTTTCCTACAGTGTCAGGCTTGATTGAGAAAAACATTTAAGTTCGTTCTTACATATAATGGGGGTCCCATAAAGGTCGCTTTGTGAGGTCAGACAAGAGATGATAAGCCGTGTGTGCTGGACTGGCAACGTGCTTTTCAACCTTAACTGATATGGCATCTTGCTCCTCCAGGGTGTATATTTTTATCTAAAAGATAGGAAGAAAAAACAGAAGAGAAAAAATATATTTTTTACTTAAAGACACGCTCGTGCACACACACACACTCACACACACTCACATACATGGTCACATTTATGCACACACGTGAATGGGCAGTCATGTGCTTGCCTGTACCAGGTAAGGCATCTATGTGGTCAACCACAATCTCCCTTCAATCTTGGATGCTAGTTCTGTGACATCTAAATAACACGTGGGCTAGTTAATTTGCATCATGTTTTGTTGTTGTTGTTGTTGTTGTTGTTAACAAAAAATAAAGAACAAAAGCTTTTCTCTCTCGATTTCTCTGATATTTCCTGCCTCCACACACTAAAAACAGAGAATGACATCAGGACACCACACAGGCCCGTGTCCCCTTTACCCTAAGACTGGATTGCAGTGCTTTCCCAGGGTATCAGGCATGTCTTCAAGTGGGCTAAAGGGACCCAGGAAACAAACCAATGATCTCTAGGACAAGCTTAGTTTCTCAAAAGGACACATAGAACATACTTCTTTAGCACAAAGAATTATTTGCTTTCTGAATCCTGAGGCCAATTTCTAGTATGTAGTATCTGTTAGATAAACAGTAGCCACTTGACATACACTAAAACACTAATGTCATTTCTGTGGCTCTGAGTTTCCTCCTCTTCCTCCTCTTCCTCCTCCTCCTCCTCCCCCTCCTCCCCTTCCTCTTCTTCCTCCTCCCCTTCCCCTTCCTCCTCCTCCTCTTCTTCTTCCTCCTCCTCCCCTTCTTCTTCCTCCTCCTCCCCTTCTTCTTCCTCCTTCTCCCCCTTCTCTTCCCCTTTCTCCCCCTCCTCTTCCTCCTTCTCCCCCTTCTCTTCCTCCTCCTCCCCTCCTCTTCCTCCTCTTCTTCCCCCTCCTCCTCCTCCTCTTCTTCCCCCTCCTCTTACTCTCCCTTTTCCTCCTCTTCCTCCCCCCTCCTCCACTTCCTCCCCCTCCTTTTCCTCCCCTCTTCTTCCTCCTCCTCCTCTCCTCCTCTTCCTTCTCCTTCTCCTCCCTCTCCTCTTCCTCCTCCTTCCCTTCCTCCTCTTCCTCCCCTACCTCCTTCTCCTCTTCCTCCCCCTCCTCCTCTTCCTCCCCTTCCTCCTCCTCCTCTTCCTCCCCTACCTTCCCCTCCTCTTCCTCCCCCTCCTTTACTTCCTCCCCCTCCTTATCCTCCCCCTCCTCCCCTTCATCAGAGCTGTGTGCTCCACTAACAGCACATTTTTATTCTGCTCATTTCCTCCATTTCTTTCACGGTGATTTGAAGTTAGTGTCGAAAATTTCTATCGTATAATCATTACCATGGCAACAAGGCTGTGAAAAGACAAACAAACACGAGGTTAGGACTCCAACCACAGGAATCAGGCAGATGGAAAGAAATTAAGCTGTGAAGAGCTGACCTCTATTGAATCATAAATCTGTATCTAAACACAATATCATCCTTGCTACTAGAATGAAGAAACGAGAAATCACAACTACAGTAGCTTAGGCAGCAAACAAGTAACCACCCACTTCTGTAAACATTCCTTCCAGGCCTTGTGTATCTTTAGTTCCAGCCTGAAAAGAAAGGCCTAGCCCAGCCTGTGAGCACTTGCTGAATACAAACAAACCCAGGTGGGACTCTTCCTGGCTGCTATCAGCACAGAACCTAAAGGAGACATATTGGTGTAAATCCAGAGAGGCGCTTAGTGGCCAGGTGTCTCCAGGCCTGGATCTCTGTGCACAGCCAAGCTAGTGGAACTGGTCACATGCTTGCCTTGGGACTGCTTGCTTTGATGAATCAGAGTGTGTGGAGAGATTGTGCTATGGGCTGAACAATTGCTTAGAGTTGGATTATGGCACCCTCCTGCCTGCACTTCTACGGTAGAGTCCTAACCTCTTGTATTTTCTAATATGGTTTTATATGGTACAGGGTCTTTGCCAATGTAATTTGCTAAACTGAGGTCGTATTGCAGTATGGTAGGCCCACTATGACTGATGTCTTTCTATAGAAGGGAAGCTGGACCTGCACACAGGGAGGAAGCCATGTGGAAATGAAGGCAGTGATGCATCTGTGAGCCAAGGAACCAGCACAGCTCTAGAAGCCAGGTGAGAGGTGAGGAACCAGTCTCCTCAGAAGCAACTAGGGTGCCTCCATCTTGATCTTGGACTACCGGCTTTCACAAGGGAGCTCCTGTAGATTCCTGTTGTTTCAGTAACCCAGTGACCAGTCCTCCATTGTGACCACCTTAGGACATTGAACCAGAAATTTTCCAGCAAGTTGCTAAACAGCTTGCAGACATATTTTATCCTTGAGCCAAAAGGAGTAGCGGCCATGTAATCCTACCTTTATAGATGGAGCTCACTGACTTACCCAGTGCCAAGATTCCATACTGGATGAATGAATGACACCTATTCTTTCCATGAGAAAGTAAAGAAGGTAGAAGGAAGTCCTTCTCATTATCCTGCTACCTGAACCAATGCCACAGATGCAAAGGAGAAAAAGAAAGGCAGTGGTTCACTTTGGCTCTCTTTAAATCTGCCGAAGAAAAGCCACTATGGTGGTTTGAAGGAGAGGCTTCATGTAAGACTCTGGATAATTGTTCTCCAGTTGGTGGCTGTTTGGGAAGGATTAGGAAGTATGGTCTTGTTGGAGAAGGGATGTCACTGGGGTGGACTTCAGGTTTTAACAGCCTCTGTCATTTCCAGTGTGTTCTTTCTGCCTCCTGCTTGAGGCTGAGATGTGAACTCTCTTTTGTGCCTGCCACTCCACACGTCTTTGCTCTGCCGTTCTGGACTCTAACTCTATAGAACATAAGCCCATAAGACATTTTCTTCTGGAAGTTGTCTTGATCATAGTGTCTTATCACAGCAGCAGACAGTAACCAATCCAGACAGCTTTACGGAAAGATACTTCAAGAACAGCTACTCAAGAAGATTGCTTCCCTTTGCTCATAGGAGTGGAGGTAGACTCCTTTCATAGCCAACTCCAGTGTTTGGGGTTTATTCTCTGAAATGAAGTGTAAGTAGCTCCAGACTCACTGATATGAGCTGCCCAGAGCAGACCCTCTTTCATCATAGCAATGCTGTGCTCCAATCTCTGGATGTGAGTCGGTATTACAATGAAGAGGAAATAGTTAAACTTTTCCAACTGTTCCAGTTGTTCTGTTGTTGTGGAGATTACATTGTAGACAAGAAAAGGGAACTACTTTTTATAGAGACCTAGTTCATGGAGGCAGCAGGGGATTACCATCGGTAGTAAGGGGTTGGAGATGGTCGGGTGGTGTTCTAGGCCTGATCTGTCTCTTCCATCATAGTCTTTGACATAGATCCCCGATGCTGCTCTGCTTCCTACGCCAGGCTGTTTGGGGGGGGGGGGGTGTCATCCATGTATTTCTTGTTCTTGCCTTATTTTTCAGTTTGTTCTCAGAGTTCAGATATTCCGTGCCTGCTGGCCAGGCCCCCCATGGTAATTTCTCACCTGGAGGACTCAACCCAAGCTACACACTGCCTAGAAAGCCATCTTCACCTTCATTCATGACACTTCCTCCAAGAGAAGCACACACCTCCAAGCTCCTTTGTTGTTGCTGTGTTTCTGTCTTCCAGGACCTTAACTTGACCAAGTTAGAGCTGGCCTCTGTGTGCTAAACACTACGGTATCCCGGTGGCTTGTGAACGGCCTCCTGTTATTCTTCTGCAATTTCATGTGCATGTATGCTGCTTCTAGTCTTGTCTTTTGCTTCTTACATTACTTCTAGTTATTTCCTTATATATACACAATTACATATGCATTAAATCCTATAGTACTGTCTGATTTTATTACAAATATCAGACTTCAAATCCAATTACATTGAAAATAAGAATATTTTTAAAAGTGTCTGTAGTATTCACTGGTGATCCAGGTTCTTTGGAGGAAAATGTAAGAAGACCTTGGATTCAAAGCAAGCTACATTGTAAGAGAGCTGGGGTGGGGGTGGTAAAACCTGTTGGTTTGCCAAGAAACTAACAAAAAAGCAAGAAACTGATTTCATATCAAGAAAACAAAATAAGGTATTTAGGCACCTTTTATGAGCAATAGTGACAAACCAATACTTAATTATTAAACCCGTTCCTACATTCCTGAGCCCCGTAGATATGGAACCTATCTGAATCTAAAGGGCCTAAGGAAGACCCTGGAAAGATCCAATGATGAGAACAAGGAAATAACCAAAACAACAAAGAGAAAACACTCAGAAGAAGTCAAGGTCAGAACTAAAAATGACAAAAGGTAGCCTTAGAATTTACTTATATTCCAAGGTGAGAGGCCTGTCTGACTCATCCACATTGAAATACTGAGGCACGGCTGAAGTCATGATGGGACAGCAGGTGCAAACTTGGACTGTCCCAGGACAGTTGGGACACCTGGTCATCCTGTTTTTTAAGGATGCTGTTTCACTGGTGTTTCAGCAGTATATAGCAAATGTTTCCCCAAAGCTGGTAATCCCGATGATCTTCCAAGTGTCAGGCACTACCATGGTCTGGGAATACAGTGGTTGAGCAAAATGTCCCCTAGAACTTAGAGTCTAGTACATGTCGGCACTGGCTTGCAAGAATCTCCTAATATCCTAAATTTAAGGCCCAAATTATACACCCTTATTTCAATTTGATAAAAAGCAAAAATTATAGAAGTTGCTAAGAGAGAGATACAAAGAATCAAGACAAGGAAGGCTTCCTTCTTACAAGTCTTATTTATTATCTTTTTGGGAAAAAGATCATTAAAAACCTAAATTTCAATGTAACATTTAAGTATCAACTCACATTGATTGTGGAAGAAACATCACAAGACAGAAAAGAACTCAAAGATAAATTAGTCTGAAAAAGGTCAGGATGAAATGAGCTACTGAAGTTCGTGGAGTCGGGAGAGTATGTGTCCTAGCTCACTGTGATAGTTTATATATGCTTGGCCCAGGGGTGACACCATTAGGAGGTGTGGCCTTGTTGGAGTAGGTGTGTCACTGTAGATATGGGCTTTAAAACCCTCATCCTAGCTGCCTGGGAGCCAGTCTTCTCCTGTTTGCCTTTGGCATAAAACGTAGAACTCTCAGCTCCTCCTTCACCATGCCTGCCTGGACACTGCCATGCTCCCACCTTGATGATAATGGACTGAATCTCTGAACCTGTAGGCCAGGCCCAATTAAATGTCCTTTATAAGAGTTGCCTTGGTCATTGTGTCTGTTCACACCAACAAAACCCTAACTGCAACACTCACCAAGATCCTCAGGTTGGATAGATGGAGGTGCGGAGGAGAGAGTGAGAGGCAAGAGATGTGATGTGAGAACCCAGGCCTACCAGGACGCAGGAGTGTGTGGGGCAGGTGTGGAGTGCTGTAAGCCATCCAGCAGCAAGCTCATGGGTAGAAGGAGGCCCACTTTCAGAAACTGTTGCCCTTTGAGCAAAGCAGCGGGGAGCCCTGAAGCGTGGACACCATGCCAACTTTAATTTGCTGTGACAGGAGCAGCACAAACCCTGGGCACTTACCTTCTCCAAGGTGGTTGTAATCTCCCAACCGCTTTTGGATGCCAGATTTTTGAGAGCTTCTACATTGGTGTTACTTAAGGATCCCTAGAATACACACACAAAGGTAAAGCTATGTGTTCAATATATACATGTGGGATCAAGCGTTTTTCGCTTCAGTAATGGCCAGTGTTGGAGGAGGTATATATTTAGCCAAAGTGAAAATATTGAGCATAAGATAAACTATTTACTGCTAATATCTAACTTCTATGTCAAAGTGCAGACAGGGTAACTATGCAGTCATCAAGTGCGTATGTGACCGTATCCTGAGCCAAAACAAACAGACGCCACTCAGTGTGACGTATAGTAATGTGTGTGGTAAGTAAACGTGGACCCCACATTAGATTTTATTGTCAAAACTGTTTAAGTGACTAATCCTTTTTTAATATTTATTTTCATTTTAGGTATATGGCTACTTTGCCTGTATGCCTGTCTAGGCAGCCTGTGTACAGGGCTTTGGAGGCCAGAAAAGGGCATCAGTTCTCCTGAAGCCAGAGGCACAAATGGTTGTGCGCCTCTTCGTGAGTCTGGGAATTAAACCCGGGGCCTCTGGACTAGCCTCCAGGCCGTTTAACCACTGAGCATCTCCCTAGCCCCCACTAATCCTTCTTGCTCTGTGAAAGTTCAAATGCATAAGCATGTCACTCACTGCAAACCAAGGCCAGACACTAGGTTGAAACATCGCATACCAGCTTGTGGCGTACTGTCCTGGGGTCAGCATTTGGGAGCTGTTCACAGAGTTCAAACCTAGTAGTAGAATAACTAGTAGCTGATGACCTGTTTGGCATCATTTAGAAATGGAGGGTTATCCAGTTCACCTTGTCATCTAACCCATGCAGGTATAACCTCGATCTGTTCAACAAGTAGGTTTCTGCTTTTGTGATGGTGGGATATTCACACGAAGCATTCTACATCCCAGACCATAAAACCGTTACCTTTTTGCTTATATCCCATTGTGGGCTGAGTGGAACTCCTTTCTTGTGGGAAATAACATATTTCCTGAAAAATTAAAATATTAAGTAACAATTTTCTCCTTATGCTTAACACATGACCCATGATAATTTCTTGATTTGAAATCGACCATTTAAAAACATTCTCTTTGGTGATAGGATCAGAAAGAACCATTTCCAGGCTGGGCCATTTTAAACTTTAGGAAACATTAGGCCCTTCCTTTCTGATTATGTGGGCAAAAGGACCCCAGGCAGTGGCTCTTTGTTACATGACTTGACAGATAAGAAAAACCTGTGAAATCTCATATTTTTGTGGCAGAAATTTCCCTGCCCAATCTATTTTAAATATTAGAACATTAGGCCTATGACTGGACAGGAAAAAGGGAGGCGGAGCTAAGCATGGGGGAGAGAAGGATGCAGGAGGAGAAAGGAAAGAGGAAAATGGAAGTGGATGTGAACCCATGTGGCTTTAGTATCCCCTGGTAGTTATGCATATCAAAAGGTTAGGATAATTGGGATAACGTGTCTAAATTGTGTGGGTATCTTGTGTATTGAGATTTTATTGATTTATAAATCTGACTGGTTAACTATAAGCATTAAGAGTTTTGATTTACTGGGTTACTGGGCATTGTGACATCTGTGAGGATGGCGGTTATTGTATGGGGCCAGGCCTAGAGCCGTTGAGGCAGAGGCAACAGCCATGCCAACTTCTTGGGACTCAGGCCAGTGCCACTAAGACCGACAGCTGGTGTTGAACTTAGTGCGGGAACATGGTGGCATAGCCAGGAGCCAGACAACTGTCTTTTTTAATACCTCCCGCTACATATTTTATATCCTTTACCTGCCTAGGCGAATTCTCCTTCGTGCGATAGCTCCCTGGTAACGTCGAAAATCATCCTTTAAAAAAAAACAGTACAATCAATCAATTTCTAACATTTTGGCACTGTGACCCTTAAGTTTCCTTCCACTAGACTATCTGTGTCTCTGTGACAATTCCTGGTGATGTCTGAACTGCTAGGGGACTTTGACAGCTCCTTTTATTTCCTTTTCAAAGTGAAGAGTATTTTAATTTCTGCTACTAAAGTCACTTAGATTTCACTCTGGGGTTCTTAGCGGAGGTGAATGTTAGCGCTAAGTCGATTCCTGGATGAGAAGACGGGTTTCCCATGGATGTGCTGTAGCATCTGAACAGGATGCTCCCACCCCACAACAGTGGACGCAGAGAGGGGACACAGAAAGCCATATGGCACACAGCAGCTGTAGAGAGACGTGCCTGGCCCTTTCACTGTTACACCCCATCACCAGAGAGATGTGGAGAGAAAAGAAAAGGGAAGGGCCCCCTGGACTTAGGCATAGAAGAAAGCAAACCTCTTTTGAAAGCTGTGGAGATGCTTGGCAGTGGGAAGCTGCATGCAACTCTGTGCCCACGGGTCTGATCACTGAAGCTTATGCGGTGACAACTGACCTTTGAAATGGGTTGGATTCTGGGAAAGGTGATGAGTTCCTCCTGGTCATCAACAGCGTTGTAAATGAGAAAAGCACTGTTGATGTGGCGGCCTCGGCCCTCGGCCCACTCCTGACAGTCAAAGGCCTCAACACGCACTCCGACTTCCACACTGCAACGGGGATGCAGGGCGGTGGGCAGGGAGGACTGGGGCGTGGCTGGCCTCCCTTTTCACCAAGCAACAGAGCCCTGGTGCTTCTCTGCCTGCAAGTCTGTACAACTGCTAAAACGTACTAGGATGGTACTGTAGGTTTGCCTGAATGAGTTCCCATTTTCCTTTCCCACTGGAACGTTATGGGTACACACATCCATTGACATATGTACTTAATGGGGAAGATGAATGCTTTCTTCCTTAAAAACCATAGTTCTATGGCTTAAAAGAATGGAGAGCTGACTTTTGGCAGAAAACAGAGCTACCCCCACCCTTTATTTTACATCAAAAAAAAAAAAGGAAAAGAAAAGAAAAAGGAAAATGAAAAATACTATGTGAGACCTTTACACTAAGTACTGCAAATAATAAAAATAGGTAGGAGGTAGCCTGGATTCACTGTTGTAAGCAGCAGGCCCATTATGGATGCTAACAGGAAGAGCTAATAAGTGTGTTAGGATGGCAGATACCAGCTGGAACCATCCTGGGCCAGCTGGATGTCCCAGCACCCTACGGGACAAAACAACTGGTTACAATTTCCTGAGTGTGAAGAGAGTACAGCAGAACCAAAGACTAACGTGTGTGTCCGCAGACTGAGTGAAGTTTAAACGTAACTCGAAGGTGTTGTGCTGTAGCTCCTATACTGCCCTCCACAGCTGAAACGAGAACACAGCTTGTGCATGACTCTGAAAGTGTGAACACAGAGCGCACTTTACCTGTTCTGAAAGGTGTTGTTGACTATGGCATTGAAGACAAGGCGGTCTCCAACTGTGGAAGGTCCCCGGAATTTAAACATATCCACAGACTTCAGAAAGGGATGCCCATAACACAGGCGGCTAAGGGAACAAGGGGAGGAGAAAGGAGGCAATGACCATTGACAGTATTCTCATAAACACCTGATTTGTGGAATGGCTTCCCTAGACAAGCAAGTAACCTGTTTCCTAAGTAAACAACTCCTCTTATGTGGAGAAGATCTGCACACAACCTTTGGTGTTTAGCACAACACACTGGGTATTTCATGAAGATGGTTCCTTGGCATGGTTCTTGTGCTCAGTGGAAATCCCTCCCAAAGAAAATTAATACTTTTTGTTGCCATTGAGTGTCACATTCATCCTCACACCTCCTGATGAAAGTCCTAGGACACTGTGATTTGTGGACTGGGGTAGGGCACAATGACAACTGGCAGCCAATACTGATCACACTTGCTCCTCAGCTTCCCTGGTCAATGAATTTATCCACAGATCAAAACCCCACATTTTCCTTCATGGAAAAAAATTGCCTGGGTTGGTACACAAAGCAAGAAAGGCTACGAAATATACATTTCATAGGTTTTGTGCATTTTAAAAGGAAATCCACTTCAAACCACTTCTCCTGTGCCCCAAGTCCCACGCCAGGGACAGTTCTGAAACCTTGCAGAAATGGTAGCAACTGTCTCCATCCATGCCATGATCTGACCGCCAAATGTGTTTCCATGATGGTTTGCGTGGGGTGGGAGGACAAGCTCGATGCTCTGGACGGAGGTGCCCACGGTGGTGGCCGTTCCTTCTTCTTCATTACAAATGGGATCTGTGAGGTGACCACAGAGAGAGTGGAGTCAGCCACGGGACCTTGTCTGGAATTCTGCTTCCCTGCAGCAAACACAACTCTGAAACTTTCAGAAAAATGACATTATCCTTAAAGCCTTACATCAAGAACATGAGTGGGTTCTGCAGAGTGGCCTATCTCTGAAAAGCATCTACTTCCGATGTTCTAGATTGAGCTAACTGACCAGGAGGGCCCTTTAAGAAATAGGTCTAGCAAACTCACCAGAATTTTGATGAAAGCAATGGTTCCATTTAAATTGGAGCCTTCTGTAGTGGAGAAGGACATGGGAGGGCACAGAAAGGTAGACATTTTGATGATGGCATGTCATTTTGTTGCAAACAATAATAATAATAATAATAATAATTAATAATAATATTTTTGTTGTTGAATGCCTATGCACAAACTCAAGTTGCATGCTTTAAATATGAACCATCTATCATGTGTCAATTAAACTTCAGTGAAGTCACTAAAATAAAGAAGTCTGAAATCTGAGGGGCCACCACAGAATGCTGCTGTGGGGAGGAGAAAGATCTCTTCACCCCAGGGGCCATGCCAGTTTAGCAGGCTCAGCGGGCAGTGCATTCATATAAACCCAGCTGCTATGAACAGGAAACGAGGCGTTCCAGGAGAAGTTTCTTCTAGTTGATCAGATCTTGGCTCTAGGCTCCTTTAGTGCCTCTTCATAAGGGGATTTTTAGATCATAACTAACTGATGATCTATTTCTTTTATGTTTCCCTTCCTTCTATTGATCTTTGCTGTCCACATTGGCCTTTTATCAGTTACTGTGAAGAACACTATCTTTGAAGTCAGGGCATTTCCACATGCCCCTTTTGTCAGTTGCACCCCACCCCTACCTCTTCCTAAGTCTTCTCCCACTTAACTTTTATTCCATCCTGGATCACATCAGTGATCTCGGAGGCACCTTTTTTCTACACAGACATGTGGTCACTAGGGCTGGGAGACAGCTCATTCAGTGAAGCATCTGCTGCACAAACTTGAGAACCTGAGTTAGATCACCTAGAACCCACATATCAAAGCCAGGTGCTGTGGTGTGACCTTATAAACCCAGGATCAGGGAGGAGGAGAGAGGAAAGTCCCTGGGGCTTGCCATTCAGCTAGTCTAGATGACTCTGGAACTGGTGAGTTTCTGGTTCAGTAAGAGACTTGTCTCAAATAAACTAACATGGAAGTTATTGAGAAAATACTACAATTGACCTGCTTCCACACACACGAGCACACATTTTCATGAACACTTGCACACACATATGTACACACACAAATAAAACTATATGTATATGTATTTGTCCATGCACATTTGTGGGGTGTGAGTGTGTGTGTGTGTGTGTGTGTGTGTGTGTACAATGACTAGCCAGGCTAATTTTGCAATACTAACACTAACAAAGATTTGTTGGATGACTAAGAGAACTTGACTTTGCTGAGTCACTACACATTGTGGTCCCTACTCTTAGCAGACTACTTCAAGAAAATACTATGACCGTACTCCATCACACAAGAAACACCTGCTGCTTATGCTAGGTCTCATTCCTCCCCTCTTGCTTAAACAGTCTTATCAACATGCCAGTTCTCCAATTTAGTGGGTGTGAAATAGTATATCATGTTGGTTATAATTTGCATTTCATTGAATACTAATGAGGTCCAACATCTTTTCATATGCACATTAAATATCTTTGCTATCTCTGGATTAAATATCTATATAATTTGCTTCTATCCCACCTCTAGAAGTTCAATTAATGAGTGTTAGATTCTCAACACACACTCACAGACAAACAGACACACATGCCATTTATATATCATAAATATATATATATGGTGTAGGAGGGTTTCTCTATTTTGAGATGGAGTCTTAGCTATGTAGCCTAGGATGTTCTCAAACTCCTTACATTGCTTTATTCTATGTCTTGCCTGTTTCACAGCCTCAAACTTGCAGTATTTCTCCTGCCTCAGCCTTCCAAATGGTGGGGTTACAGGCATGATCCACCATGACCAGTTACACATATATGTTGATAGACAGTCTCTCTGATTCTTTGTCAAGCTTTCTAGATCATCTCTTTGTTCTTGAATTGCACGTTTGATTCTCTCTCCTTTCTCATCTAAGTAAGTATGTAATGCCGCTGTGCATTGGCACCAAGGCCTCACGGCTGATAGGTAAGCACTCCAGCACAGGTTGCATTCCAAGTCCTCTTGCTCATTAAGTTACAGTGCCCCTGTTCCATCATCTTAGTATATGAATGGTCTTAATAGACCCCCTTCATACTTTGTGATTCTGGTGTCACTTCTAGATCTTTGGGTCTTACTGATTTCAGTCCCTTGTGATATTTTTATTTGTTTGGTTGGTTGGTTTGTTTTGTTTTTCGAGACAGGGTTTCTCTGTGTAGCCCTGGCTGTCCTGGAACTCACTCTGTAGACCAGGCTAGCCTCGAACTCTCGAACTCAGAAATCCACCTGCCTCTGCCTCCCAAGTGCTGGGAATAAAGGCGTGTGCCACCACCGCCCAGCCCATGATATTTTTTTAAAAGCCCTATTGCCTAGAAATTATCTGAGGAAACCGCTGAAGCTGGATTAAGGTCTCTTCTCCACAGTGGATTTTTATATCCTGTCGCTGATTGCAGCGAGGCTGGAATACGGTCCATGTTACACTAAAGTTCACATGATCCACTTCTACACAGGCAGCTCGTGGATTTCCAGCACCAAGTCTGCAAGAAGAGAATCTTGGGACTGGGTTCCAAAGGGAATGATTCCTCCAAGAGTACTGCTAAAACAGAAAGGCACCCACCAGGGGTCTCTGAAGGGGCGGGGACTGTACGTGGACTCGTGCAGGGTCCTTAGGGAATTACAGCCTCCTATCATTTCCGGGTTTACCCTTCCACCTAAGACAAGTACCTGGGTCTTCCTACAGTCTGTGGCTTTGGGTACCTGCAGGTCCCAGAGCTAATGCCAGGGTTAGGACAACCTCTCTCTGCTTCTTCTGTGTTCTCAAGCCTCTGTTAACGGCACTGCTTTCCCTTCCTTTATGTCTGCTGAGACGGACTTCCAAACAAACTGTAGATTTTCCCCAGATATCAAGTCTACTACATTGCTATACACAAAAGTGGTTTGTTTTTGGGGTGTTTTTTTTAAAAAGACACGCAAAATCTTAACCTCTTCTAACTTATTTTCAGCTTTCTAAGTATTCTTCTGAACTGGACCTTGTTATGTTGTACAGGCTGGCTCGAAACTCCTGAGTTCAAGCCATCTTTCAACAACAGCCTTGAGAGTATCTGGGATTCAGGTGCGTGTCACCGTTCCCTGCTCTCTGATTGCAAAATTGATTTTATTAGATGAGATTCTAAAAACAGGTTGAGTTAGTGCTGATTGAGATATTTTCAGTTTAATACTCCTTGTCCAAATGACATCTTTTTATCCAGAAGAAAACATTAACTATTTACTTAAAAATGCCTATAAATTATATTATAAAGTAATAAAACTCCAAGTGCCTAACTAGTTAACTGTTGCATTATCAGAGCATGTACATGGTTATATATTGCAGGTCGGAGGAAGACTTACTCTGTATCTGTATGATTTCTCATGCTTTGTAAATTTCTTACCCTGCACATGCACTACTAATTTTTAAATGATTATAAAATAATTACAAAATAAAAAATTAATAGGGGTCTTAAAAATCTGAGAAATGTTGTTTAAAAAATATAGAATTAAGCAGTTTCTTCTTTTCTAAAGAGTAATAAAAAAAAAGTCACCTATTTCCTGTGAAGACATGTAACACATACTGGGGAATCACTTTGGCCAGGTAAAACACATATGGGTATTAGCTATGCCATGTATACAGAAATACATGGAGGATATGTGTCTTTTGTGTGGAAGTGTGTCTTCTTGTAGATATATGCCAACCAATAGGGATAAACCAGAACTTCCTCAGGTCCAGAGAACAACTCAGGTTCACAGACCTGACTAGAGCTAAGTCTGGATAAACATGCCTTATTCTGCAAGCCAAGTGATCGAGTTCAGTGGCTGCCCATTGAATGTCTTTAATCATTCATTTCATCATCTTGCTTGGTCAATGTCACATTTGGTCGGTATTTTTTGGATCAGGAACTTTGACCTGGATTCAGGGCACTTTAGCTTAGCTCCTGTGTTTTCCTTCTGCACATGCCGAGGGATCAACCAGGACAATGCTCTGAGGGTCTGATTTTGTACCAAGAAATTGCAGTTAAAATAGCTCAAGCCTGACTCCCAATGATCCAGGGGCACAACAACATATCTTCTTTTTACAGGACCGAATCTCATCTTTCCACTTTCCTTATGAGAATATAGAGTCTGAAAATCCACCTTGACTAATATTCTAACAGTGTTCATTTCTTTCCTTCACACCTCAAAGGGTGAGGAGTGCTTAATCAATCTGATGTTATGACATTATAGATTCCATAGTTCAACAAGGACGATCTGTCTACCTTCTTTTAGAATATATTTTCTAATTTAAAACAGCCTCTCTGAGACCTAAGGCTGGAAGTAGACAGACTACCTGCCCTATGACATCAGCAATGTCAGAGCCCATTGGTTCTTCTTTAACAAAAATTGCTTTTAAGGGCTGTGGTATCATTAGTGACATGAGAGTTAGTAATATTTCCAAAGTGAAAATCAAGTTGATAGGACAGAGTTAGGTTAAATGTGGTTTCATTGAGAAGAATATAGGGTAATCTATGTTCAGATAGGTTAAGTTAAATCAATGAGAAGCACTTGAAAAATAATCTCTAATTCTAAACTGAAGCAAGGACTAAATTGCCAGGAGCCAAACCCATGAAATTACCTGCTGTTCTGGAAAATCTAGTCAGTTAAAGTACAAGGTTAAGAAAGGACATTCACAGGTCTCAGGTCCCAGGAACTTAAAGAACGTCTGGTATTTATTTCCTGGGAGCCAGTTACAATAGTGGGATGGTCTTGGGCAATGAGGGCATGATAGTGGGATAGCCTTAAGCAACAATCCTTGTCTAAACTTCCCATTTTGCTGTGTCTTTACAACCTGCTGCCTAAAATTAAAGTTAGAGAGCTTGATCAAAACCCTTGACTTGCTCCCATTCTTTGTGTCTCTTGTCCCTTCATTCTTTCGCCCCCTTCCCTAGGGTCTCATTGAATCCCCCACAGGCCATGAGACTTTTACCTAACTCAACTTCCTTCTTGTAGCTCCTCCCTCAGGCTCTCCCACCCCTTCGGCAGTCTTCCACTGGGCCACAGAATCTGGACCCTGCACTTCTTCAATCACTGTCTACATTATTTTGAAATGAGTCATGTGCCTGCAAGTAAGGTATGCATTTTTCAAGTACAAAGGTCTTGCATCATTTTTGCTTTCTTATGGGCAAGCATGTTCCTAGCAGGTGGTAGGCACGTAATACAGCTGTCCTAGGTGGAAATAAGCAGTCATTGTGTTCTTTGTTTATTGATGTTGAGTGTGAAGGAGCCAGACATCCACAGGACAGTCCATGAGCTCATCCACGTTCAGCTCCTCCAGAAAGCACAGGATCACCTGGCCAGCCCCTTGCTCAGCCCAGGGTTGCCTTTTCCCTCATGAGAACTCTTGCTCTAGAGTTCTCAAGCCAAAGGCCTGGAAAATTATCCTTGAGACATTGATGTGATAACTGGAGAGAGTGAAGAAAATTCTTGTAAGATTCTGAATAAGTACACACAGACTTTAGAACTTTCCTCTAAAATTACCAAAGAATCTTATGACTCTTTTGTGACTTTATTTCTACATTTCCCTTAAAAACTCGGGTGGTATAACTGCCCAATAACAGAAGGATTTTTAAAAAGCAATGACTGTATGACAAGGAAGACGGGTAAAGGCAGGGTAACTGCACAGACTCACTGAGAGCCCTGGTAAGTACCCGAATTTTCCTGAGGCAGAAGCAAGGGACCTTGTCATCTCATTTGCCTTCCTGGAGTTTTCATGGTGAGAAGACAAGGTGCACTTGGGTTGATTGCCTGTTTTGGCTTTGTTTTTCATTAATGGTTGTCTGGTCTGCCTTAGGGATATTCTCATGGTTCAGATATTTTAGTCCTTAGGAAAAATGCATTTAAAACACATCTTGGAACTGAGACTATCTTTGTAAAGAAAGAGACTCTTCTTATTATCTTCTTTGATGATAAAGTCTCTACCTCCAAAAGCATAACTGATAGTGACTCTCACTCTGTATGAAGTCAGCAAAGCACACCAGCATTTAGGAATTGTGAAGAGTAACAACTTGAACACTCTTTTCCTTAAAGCCAACTTCTACTTCAACAATTACCATATCAACCATCCCTACCAGCCTGGAATCACAATGAAGTTTACTGTCCTGGAAAGCAATGCCTATTGACCCTGAAGGCCATGAAGACAGAACTAGATCCATCCTCTCTCCTACCCAGTGGGTTCCTGTGTAGTTGTCCCATGAGCCTGGCAATGCCTCCTGGTCAGCATGAGGCCTCCAGACTTCTGACACCTTCTCTTCTACCTTCTCTTCTCTGTCCTCATTCTCCTCCCATTCTATCCTGGCCTATTGCCATCCTTTGCCTTTTCTGTGCCCTCCTTCAGTGTCAGAGGAGTTGGAACTTCTGTGAGACTCTCTAGTCCCCAGGAATAGCTTGCCCCATCTCATGTCTTGCTCTGTTTTCTCTTGGGATTTTAAAGATGGAGTCAAATAAAAGAGAAAGTCAGCAGAGTTATAAGGGAGCTATGACATCAAGGAGCCTAGGAAACCACTGCCAGACAGCTAAGAATGTGTTTCTCATAAAACTCAGCATCAGTGTAGAAAGCACTAGGAAGTATTAATAAGCTCTTTCCCCTCCATTCTTATCAAAGGGCATCTTCAGCAGGTTTCTTCTGCTTAGAGTTCCCTTCTCTGTTGAGAAGCATATGGCTTATAAAGGTCCTGAATGAGAAAGTGCATAGTGACCTGTGAAGTTTCGTATCAATGTGCCATGGTTGCCACCCCCTCATTCTACAATGCTAATTGTTAATAACCACCAAGACCTCATCTCTTGTTTATCACTGTCTCCTCTAGAGAAATACCATCCCAGAGGCCTAGGTCATCATGTGTACTCTGAATTGCCAGTCCTTTTCTTCTCTATATCCTGGGTATGTCAGAAAAAACTGATTAAGCATCATCCAAGTTGCATTGTGAAAATATGTGCTCTAGGAAAGCCCCCTTCCTGCACCACAGCCATAGAAAGTTTCAGTGTGTAGACCCACTCACCGCTGAGCCTGCTGCTCTCCTTCATAATGTTGCTGAAGGTGTTCTCATGCTGTAATCGGACTTTCCTTCTCTCCGAAGCCAGACTGTGCTCGATCTGCTCTTGCTCCGTTTGAAGCAGAACAGGCTTTAAGTGAACCTAGAAAAAGAAAGTTTATCTTTAGTTTTGTCATTCACTGCCTCCTTAAATTATGGATGCCCAATATGAATTTTACAAAAGCAGATGCCATACCATATGTTTTTGACTCAAGTAAATGGAGTGCTTATCGGTGATTCCATGAAACATTCTGGTAAAAACCTTTCTTCAAGTGTTTTCAATTAAAAGGCCAAAATGGGCTTTGTTCTTTCTCATTTGAAAACTGCACTTGTCTATTTTTCTCTTTTTATAATTTTTCAGTGGAATTACAGAATATAAAATTCTATAAAATATAAAATCAACAAATGAGGTGTGAAATTATAACGTCACTGAATTTTTATAATCTTTCCTATCTTTTGCAAAATTAAGACATCAAGGGAAGATAATAAAGGCATTCTAGAAAAAACTATCTTGTACCAAGAGATATTTCAAATATGGAAATTTCATCAAAACAGTGTCTAATAGGCAAACAAAGAATCAATATGTTATCATAACACTTCAGCTGCCCTCCAGAAACCCCAGATACAACAAAGTCCAAGCTCCAGCTCCACCAGAGATGCTCATGTGCTGACTCTATGTGGAAAGATCTTGGCAGCTCCAGGATACCTCCAGTCTGAACTTGACCCTTCACCCAGATAAGGGTGAAAAATCTAGTGACTCTTAATGTGCTGTTTAAAGTCCAAAGCTCCCTGTGTTGCCTATCTTGGTTGTTGGCATGTGTAGATTGACAGTGACTCTGTCTGAGTCACCTATTGATTGACAGTGACTGCTTGAGTTGCCTATCTCAGTTGTCAGGAGTGTGTACAATAACAGTAGCTCTGCATTGTCACAGTTTGGTCGCATGTGCAGCAATACATATTAGGTGGCCTGGGAGACCTAGGCTCCCTGCAATGAAGACCTTTGCATCCATCATGATGAGTTCTTGTCCACAAAGCACATTATGTGTGCCTGAAAATGAGCTCGAGAGCAAGTGTTGCCTGGAAGTTGAAGCCCTTTGAAGGTGGCTGGGCCATCCTTTTCCTGCTGTCTCGTTTCCTTCCATACAATTCAGTCTTGTGAGTCCTTTGTATTACTTGGCCTGTTTAACTGTTGAACCAAATCTTGTTAATCATTGCCAGTTTTATCCTGAAATGAACTCACTTTGGACAGAAATCCTGCAATTTCTTGTGGTGCAGGCCAAACCACAGCCTTTCACACCTCTCTACATGATCTGCTACTAAATGAGAAAGTACCAACTTGAAAGTCAGTTGATCTGGGAAAGGTGCTTTACAGTTTATGTTGACTGAAGTAGCCAGTTACAGTAGCAGCATACGGGAGATAGATGGCTTCCAAGAGCCACTCTTGGAAGCCAGTTCTTATCTCTGTAGAGAAGGGACCGAGATGTCCCAGCATGTGCCTATTTCTAAATTGTTCCTAAATCCAAAATGAGACATTTGGGGTTGAAAGGAAAAAGACAGCTTTTACCAGTGGATAAAGCAGTGGATGGTGATGTATCCTCCCTCCCATCATTTGATATCAAGTAGGGAACTCTGTACCGAGTCCCATAACACCCTCATTCTGAAAAGCTTAAAGATTTTGAGATTCAAGAAGAAACTAGAGGTTGGCAAGACCTCTCTTACTTCTGAGATTTTCATAAACATAGGGTCTCTGTGATGCTTTGTTCAAGACTTAATAGGTCTAATTTATGGGCCAGAAAGGTGCACTTTTTAGATAATAGATGCACTTTTCAGTTTGGAAAGCAGTGTCCTTGGACAATGGGAATTTGCCAGCAGCACATTTAATATGAGGCATATAGTATAGAGAGTACTCCAGGGGACAGAATTCTGTGGGGTCACCTGCCAGCCAGGGACAGCAGTGCCAGCCAGGAACAGCAGCACAGGTTTGGGGCAGCTGCAGAGCATTGCTGGCCAAAGTGGAAGCCTGGCTTTGTCCCAGCCACATTGGCATAGGAGGTACTCTGAGGAAGAGCCCAGGCACAAGGGAGACGTGAGCAGTAGACCTTGTCATTGGGAAGTGATTAGGAGAAGCCACTTTGGCTACTCTTTGATGATTCTTGAATGAAATACATAATAATTTGAATTATTACATTTTTCAAATGTGTTTCAAATGTCCCCTAAATAGAAGCAATAAAAAGAAACGTGACATCGTAAATTGTGATAGATCTGGGCTCTGGCTGGCTGGAAGCTGGGCATTGTAAGAGGACATAATATTTCTTCCGAGAGTGTTTTCAGCCCCGATATCCTAAAGTTTACTTTTAAACTTCACTGACTCAGCAAGTTTGATACTTTCCTGAAAAATCTACAAAAAATGACTGGACCATGACTTTCAACTCCTTGCCTGATTTTTCCTGCTTAAAAAAAAAAGTTCAACTTAATTTTAAACTCCAAACCCCAAAAAAGAACTAACCCAGTAAGCGATATTTTTGAGAAGTTGACATGACTTCCAGATTTAAAACACTGTTTTTCCTCTTTCCTAAATTTGGTCCTTTTTTTTTTCTTTAAGGTATTCCTCTCAAAAGATGTTCTTGTTCAGTTCTATGATGTCAACACAGAATAATACCAATAACTATCAGTGAGTAACAAATCTTGAGCGAGTGAGTCTTGCAGTAAGAAAAAAGTAAATGTGAAGCAGTTGTTCCTCTGTCCTGGCTTACAAAAAAGGTGTCTGTTCACATAAAAAAATGTACCTTTTCTTTGCCAACTGGTTTAGCTACAAACGTAGAGAAAGCCACGCAGAGGAGTTTCTGGACGCCAGTGAACTTGTCCTGGACTATGACCTTGATACTGATCTGCAGGGAAGGAAAACAAACCATCAGTCATCCCGATAATAGATTCAACTGCATCACACATGTCTCCAAGCTTGCCTTTCAGTTTTTAAATAACATAAGCATTTTAATTTATCTTTGTGACACTACTATCTCAGTGACAATCTATATACTATGACAAATGAAACTCTTCCGACTTTAGGAATACACACAATTACCATGAAAAATATGTGGAATCTAGCTATTTAGAGTATGTTATATAAATCTATTACCCAGAGGAAATACTTATTAACTTTTAAGTCAATTTCCTTCCAGATACACATAGGTTATACTACATATACACAATGTAATAGTACACACACACACACACAGACATACACACATACATGTAATATTGCTCATGTGTTTTTAACGTGTATATGAGATGTACATCAATGTTTACAGACATTATAAATGTATCATGTTGCATTTGAAGTTCTACATCCTAATTCTTAATAAAAGTTTGTCTTGCCGCAATAACCATTTTAAAATCATATTACTGGTGAATGTCTTCTCAAGAACAAGACAGCCTGCCAGAGAGAGGAACTGCCACTGTTTTTAAACCTTTAGTCATTAGTTTTTAATACACCATGATAACGGGCACAGAATTGCCGTGTTAGCTTCAGCTTGGTTTCCTCGGTTTATCGTCTTCTGGGGCAGTCATCAAGTGACTGAAGCATTTTGTGAGGATGCTGCAGTGGTGTCTCTCCCTCTGTGTGAAGAGCCCTGAAGCTGGCTCTGCAGATTTGCAGTCCACAGAAAAGAAGTCTCAGATTTGGTATAATAAACACTCTCCTCATATCTCAGCCAGAGAAGCGACACTATCTTCTGAGAATAATGGGCAAGCTGGGTATCTCAGTTTAGCACTGAGTAATGAATGATAAAGTGCATGTATTTCTTCATCCTCTCCAGGAACACCATGTACAAAAAGAATCAATAACCGATGACTCACTTTAAGTCACTTAATTTAAAACAGAGATTAGTATATGCATGGCAAATCTTACATTAACTGGATAATAATGAACCAAATATAAACCAATTATTCCTCACTTCTATAAATAATCCTCACCCACATAGATTTTCATGTTAGGGAAACAGATAAGAGAGAATAAAATAAAATAAAATATCAAACAAGAAAAGCCTAGCTACAACTCTGGAGCGGTAAAGTTCAGACACTATCAGCTACCAGGACAGTGACCTGAGGTACGTGTGATGGACAAGTGTCCAGAGACAGGGCACGGGGAATTCACTGTGTTAGGGAGGTGTAGGTCAGACTGGAGTTACACTCCATGACAAGAAGAAGAAAACTAGGTAAGAAGGAACAGAACATAATATTGCCTTCTCACACTGAAGGTAATTCCCAGATGCCTGTACCAGAAGGGAAACCCAATTCTGCTGAGTTGAAAAAGTAGAAATCAAACAGGTCAAGGGATCTGAAATTTGCTGGGCAGAGCACCAGAAAAGAGATCTCTCTTTTCAGCTCTCCCGCACTGCTAGGAATCTTGTGAGTTCTCTCTAGGCAGACCTCACCAAACATTAGACATTCATAGAGCCCACAGAAGACTTCGAGGCTGTTTATTGACTAGTTTTCACTGTAAGGGAAGGAGGTGTGTAAGGGGATGGAGACAGAGTTTGGGTAATAATATTTCAAGAATAAGAAATAGAATCTGTAGTTTTCAAAACACAACAAGAATGCCCTTCCATCCTGCATGTTAACTTTGTGTGTATCTTACAGTAGCTGCTGTCACACTGAGCTCGAGTGTCATGGCTGAGGGGGGAACATCAGCTCCTCAGAATTCGATTGTGCATCTGACTACAGATTTAAGGGCTTTCTGAAACTCAGGATCATTTTGAGATGGCAGCTTTGCTTTGAGCATTGAGCAGTTCTCTGAAAGCAATGACGACATGGGCCCTAACAGGCAGATGTAAGGAACAGGTGCCACTCACCTCCATGCTTGTGCTGAATGCCCTAGTCACTTTTGCTCTGATGGTAATAATTTGTCCAATTCTGTTTTCAAAAAGAAAGAAAGGTCTCAGTGATCCTAGCACATCTCATTTTAGAGTTAGAGATTTAGTCGACACATTCGGCATAAAGCAATTCTACCCTTACCTGCTGATAATACGCATGTATCAAAACTTCAGGTTAAAGCTAATAGCAAAGGTAGGCCTTCAGGACAGATGTCTACCATTCAAATCATGCTTATAAGATTAACAGTCTCCCTCTATTTAATCTGAAAAGAGCTCTTGCAAGGACAGTGTACAAGGTGACTCTACTCACAATAGATACTTTTTGTGAGCAGCTGTTGTTCCCCATAGAAAATTCAGACAAGCACAAGATGGGCCTATACCACTGATGTTTACTTTAAAACCTTAATTAATAAACAAACAGACCAGCAAACATACAGAAACAAACCAGGCCATTGGTCAGCCTTCTAGTAGACATGGGCCCTCAGAGCTTCTCCTCAGCCCACTGCCATTGTAACTCTGAAACATTGAGGTCAAGTCTTTTGGTCACTGATCCCTTCATCTTAGCGGAAGTTAAAAGCTGCCCATGTGAGCTCCTTTGACAGCCTCACCCCACCTGACTCCATCTGAGCCACTTTGTCACAAGTCCTTCCGTTCTCTTCTGTTTCTGTGCTCTACCTAACCCCATCGCCTTGCCTCCTTCCAGCCTGTAATGTCATCTCTTACCTCTCTCAGCCTTCAACCTCTCTGCTCTCCTGATTTTTTTTTTCAGTCAATGAAAATATTTTAAGATTTCTTTCTCCTTCTGAAATCTTTTCCTTCCATCCTAGTTTATCTGCGTACTCGACTTTCCTAGAAGACTCGCTGGTTTTTCTCATTTACACTGCTCACTGAGTTTTGACTAATGGTGGTGCTGAACCAAAGTGTAACGAATGAGTCAGGGCTGCTGAGTTTGATGGCGGAAGGTTTTCTCTGAGGCTCAGGTTCAGAAACACACCAAGTCCAAAGGCCTAGAAAAGACCAACTGAAAATTCATTGGCAACAGAAACCTTTGTCATTAAATAAAGAGCTGTCCTCAGTGTGGCCACACCAGTGACAAAAATGAATGCTTTATAATGCTGTGCATTCAGCAGGCAGCGTGCCAAGTGCTCTGAATCATAGCCATAACCCTGTGTGGTCAGCATGATGAGTCCCATTTCGTTCTCGACAGGAACTGGGCTTACATGGTGATGGAGTCAGCAACTGGCTGGGCCACAGTTCAAACCCCTCTCTTATCTGAGATTAAAGCCCTGGAAACATGGTCTCACTTGGGCTCCTAGAAAGGACAGCAATTATTTCTACTGTAATCACAGCACGGAGACTGGTTTAGCTATATTAAGGACAGTCTATGAGGTAAATCGGTTGGTTTTCCTGGAAGAGTGACCATATCTACTCAGTGCCCTTGTGTAAATATGGGGCCCTATATACTTTATCTCTCATAGTCTATAACAATCCAGGCAGAAAAGCTAGAAGAAACAAATTTAGATATGCACATAGATATATATCCTCAAACAAGAAATTCTTGTGTTGGAAATCTGAACAAATCAGTATTGCAGTATTCCTTTCTTAATGTTTAGATGAATTTAAGTAATTTAGAAAAGGATAAAGGTCATGCAAAACCCTTCACAGACGGGACTTAGATAACAAATGAAATGGCCTATGTATTCGCATTTTGACTAAGTAGTTCTGTTTTTAGGCATCTATTCCCAAAATGCACTAGCAAAAATATAAACATGCAATATATAAATCCATATTGAAGTATTATCTTTAATTGCAAAGCAGTTCAGCACTTGTTGATGAGGACCAATTGAATAGGAATCTGTACAACGAATACCAAAGTACCTGTTAAACAGCTGTTGAACAGCTGTGTGCACTGCTCTAGGGTGGCTTTATGGGCTGACTCTTGTGTGGAAAAGGTAGAGAAAGTGACATAATATATTGGAATTTTTTGCTAAAAAATATGAATAAACACTCACTTATATTTTAATATAAAGGGGCAATTATCAGATATATATATATATATATATATATATATATATATATAAGAGTGTGTGTGTGTGTGTGTGTGTGTGTGTGTGTGTGTGTAATTATCAGACTTAAGAGAGAAGAAGAAACCTTAGAAGCAATGAGATAGAAACTAAACTTACCAGAGTGAAATGTTATTTTCCACATTTGAGCCTACTGCTTGTAAATGTTTTAAGTGAGAAACCAGATACAACAAAACTGCAATGCAGTGTTAAAACACAGAAAACAACTGAACTTGGTAGTTTAGCTATCTGGGAAAGAGTTCCCTTGAGTAGCTTCCAGTGCAGTGGTTGTGGCTATGTAATGTTTTTAAAAGGAACCTTGGTATTTGTGAGCATTTACTGAATGATTTACAAATCATGACTAGAATTAGCTTCGGAATAATTCACATGTGGGAAAGGCACAGGAGGTCTTGATACAAGCATATGTGAGGTGATTATTCTCACAGGTCAGAGGTAAGTTCTTGGAATGACATACAGCTCTTTCTTATTTTATTGTCTGACTTGAATTTTTCTTCCATACAAGCTGCTAAAGCAACTGTTATGGCTAAAGAAGCCCCATTCTAGGTCAGACCTCCATCTTGGTACCCACTAGCCATTTGTCTCCGATTCCATTCCCTGGCAGATAAGTTCCCAGTAACCTGGACTCCCCACCCAAAACTGTAGAGTCCTGGCTTTCTACTTGTTATGATATGACTGATTTTTTTTTACCTCTGTTAAGTTGCTTATGCAAATACCCAAAGATTGTTTTGAGTTGCCCTAAACACCTAACTTGGCAGAACAGTTTTTACTTGCTTGCATAGATATTGAAGTTCTTCATGTGGTTTTTCCTTTTAAAAGTCCTTCCCCATACCTCTTCACGACAATCTCAAATTTGAATCAGAGACTGTTCATTTTGCTAGCAGATGATCGATAGATCATTCTAATTATAATTGGATTGAGTTTACAGTCTTTTCCCAGGGGTCACAAGCTCCACAGCATTTAGAGGCCCCAGCAAGATCTCTAGGAGACTCCAGGCTCAGTGTTAGGGCTCCAAATTTGCAAATCAAAAGTAAGAATTGCCAGCTAATGTGCTTCTGAAGCTTGGACTTATCCGTGAGGTGTTCTGCTCTGTTTTAGAGTCCAGATGTTTGGAGAGAAAAAGACAAGATCGTAGGAGATCATAGACCTGGTCTATGGGGCAGAGGGGATGTCCTACTGTCCTTCAGGTCTCGGTGTATGAGTGAATGTGGCCATATGTCTGAGTAGCTCTGTTTTTTTTTTCCTGGTTGTGTTGTACTGTCTTTTCTGTTGCTCTTTATTGTCTGTTGGATTTGTGTTTTCAAGGTTTGTTGCAGAGATGGGAATTGAGCTGAGCATGACCAAATTGCCTCTGAACTGCATGCTGCTACCTTTTTAGCATTGTTGAGAGGCACACTGCTCCTGGCTGTCTCTATGTTAGCTCCCCATGGAGCTCCATCTCGCTTGCTTCCCCTCTGCCCCTCTCATTGGCTCACTGAAGCCTGCTGTTTAAGCCCACAGGTACATCAGGCCCTTCTCGATGACCCTGTTTGCAATTCTTTCTCCCCTCACGCTGCTTTTGAAGAATGTCTTCCTTTGTCCTGCTTGCATCTGCCAACTGGCTCCTGTCTCTTACCATGGAACTCTGGCTGGTGCACCCCTGCTAACCACCAGCACTACTAGGATAGGGGGAGTAATGCAGGCACCCCTGGTGTGTAACCCTGGGAGGCACCATAAGGTCCCTGTTCTGCACCCACTGTTCCTAGCCTGCAGTTAGAATTTCTTTTCTCCAAGTCTTTGTATTCTCCTTGCTCTGGTCTCTCCCACTGATCACTGGATTCAGTTTTTCAGGGGTTGGGTGCCTATTGGGTATGGTTAATATTAAAATATTGTTTTATGTGTTCTGCTTTATTAGAAAGCTGGCTCTGAAGTTGGAGCATGGCCTCCTTCTTCCAACCAAGGCATGGTGGTTTAAAATTTTCCTCCAAAAATCCAAAATTTGGATTTTTTCCTCCAAAAATCTCTGTTCTAGGTCAGAAGGCCATCTGACTCTAGGACAGAGAAAAAAAACAAAACAGAAAAAATACAAACTTTCTGTACCTTAAGATTTGTAAACTTATTGAATACAGTTAAAAATCTGTAAAACAAAAGTCTATAAAGAAAACCAACCTGATGCCAATGTTTTCTGAGTTCCTATAGGTGTCTGGATTTTATAATTTTCTGTTTAATGGCCTCTAGATTACAGATACTTAAATTATTCTGCAATTTAACAATATGATAAAATAAGGAATACTTATTAAGATTTTCAGGTTATCTGCCTCTATATGCAGACACATACAAACTGGTTTTAAAATAAAATAAAATCTTCTAAAACTTCTCAGAAATAACTCTAGATATGTTTGCTTAAAATAATCAAATCTGGACCTGTTAACGTTAATATTTCTTCAACACAAGGAGATAATCAAGGTTATTGGAACTTCAACATAAGAACCCAGTCACTCTTTCTAGCTGGTTGTGTGCAATTAGGTCCTAACTGTGTGAAGTCTCAAGGTTTTCTGGAGAAACTAGGGCATAAAGGCTAGAAAGAGAGAATAAGGATGGGCCATCTATGCAGCAATGGGAAGTTGTTAGAGAGCCTGGGTAAAGGCTCCAGATACTGTCTAACATCCACTTAGGAAAAATTGTCTTACAACAAATGGTAAATGTATTTATTACTCTCATGTCTCTTGTTATTTCAAATTTTTTAAAAAAGGGTTTACATAACAACTAGCTAAATGTTAATTGCAAATATCTCTAGACCATCCACCACGGAGTGTCCAGGAAGGGACCGATGGCTCCAGCTGCATATGCATCAGAGGATGGCCTTGCCTGGCAGCAATGGGAGGGGAGGGTTGATGCCCCAGCGTAGGGGATGCTAAAGCAGTGGGGTGGGAGAGAGTGGGCGGGTGGGGGAGAACCCTTAGAGAGGCAAAGGGGAGTGAGGAAAGGGAGGTTGTGGGATGGGGAGGGGGGGTTGTGGAAGGGTAACCGTGAAGTGGAATATCATTTGAAATGTAAACAAATGGAATGATTAATAAAAATAAAATTAAATTAAATTTAAAAAGTGTCTCACTCTTTGGTGTCTCCCTTCTTGCTTGGTTCTTGATTACAAAAATTGTTCCTTCATCCTAAGAGAGTGTTAGATAATATCCAAGGATATTCAGAACTCTTGCTAAAATATAAACTTTCTTTCTCTCAGAATCTCTAAGACCATTGCAAGAGGATGTAGGCAGAGGAATTCTATAAAATTCCAACCCCCCTCAATAGATTAAAACTTGTAACAAATGGCTGATAATTAAAAATCTACTCATAGATAATTATAATTTGCTATTGCATGCTTTTATGTAACTTGAAATCAACTCTAATTATTTCTTTTTAGACTAAGGAGACAACAACAGGTCCCTAAGATATTTTGGATCAGAATAGACTTTTATATGGTGATTTTTGCCCTGAAATTTTTAAATAAAAAACAACATATGTTTAATGTAAATATATATTTGATAAATGAAGCTTATAAATGTCTAAGGTTTACTCAGATTAGCAATAATTAAATTGAAGATTTTTGTCTAGCCTCTCTGTCTTTAATAACTTTGTTAAGCTTTAACTGTTTATATAAACTAAGTCATACAAAAAATTATAATATTCTTTAATGGTATACTGTAAAAGAATCAAAAAAAATAAGGTTTCCAATTTCTCTATGGGCTATATTTGTGATTTTATAAAATTCCCAGACTCTCTATGGGCTATATTTATGATTTAAAGTTTTATTTTGATATTAAGAGAGCTTCAATTCAAAAATTATAATTTTTAAGGCTAAAATCCTGATCTTATTAAAGCTACTAACTTCTTATAAACTATTAAGGATAATTAGGAGATGCAATTTAATGTTCAATCATTTTATAAATGATTAAATTTTTTTAATGTGCTCAAAACTATGCTTGTAATCATGCTAAGTACAAAAGTAATTCATTTTCAGGGACAAGTTTTATTTGGCTTTTTGAATGTTTCAAGGTTAAGCCTACAGCAACTAAAAACAAGCAAAGTTTGTATAGTTCATATATACTTAATAGATAATGGTCTTCAAATTTGTCAGAGATCTGATGAATATGGCATTCAGGGTGTTTAATGAAAGAAAAAAAAACCTTACCATGAAAGACCTCAACTCCTATTGGTGACCCCAAGATCTCCAAAGATAAGGCACAGCAACTCTACCTGGACTATGATAACTCTAACCACTGGGAAAAACTGCCCCAACGTCATGTACCTCTAGGACCTGGCCCAAACTGTGGACAACCGGGACACTGAGAGTTGATTGCCTCACTTCCTATAGACAAAGTAATGTCAGTTCCCCAAGTTCTAGCTCCTCAGGAGCTGTCAGGTCTTCTAGGCTACTCTTCCCCCAACAAACCATTGACACCACAGGAGCCTGGTGGGTAGCCCTCTAGGTAATGGGCACGTCTCTGTAGGCCATTTGGATTACACTTCCTGTCATGATTTATTCTTCTCAGGTCTCTGATGCTATTGTTGTCTAAGCAAGCTGTAGCATTGTTAGTTTAGCAGCAGCAGACAAGCATCTCCTTCCCCGAAAGGCTGCAGCAACCTAGTCTGTTCATTGCATATGTAAAGAACAGGCCTTGCTTTTTCAAGTGCTTCTAGGTCTCCTGCTGAGAAAGGCGGACAGGTCTACTTTGCTGATAAGCTTCACATTAAAGGATAAACAGTTTCAGATGTAAGTCTTTACTGTTCCTTTATTTAAAAGAACAAGCACTCTCACACACAAAAATGTTCCTTACAACGTAAGTTACCTACACACATGATACGTGTTTGCACCCCAGCAGCAGAGATAGTATCATCTATCAATCAAGCAGGAAAGGCCCTTAAGGAAGAGATGACAGGAAGCCTGCCAAGCCTCACACTACAATGTGTTAGACACTGAGAGTTACTTAAGAAAACTGAGACCAAATTGTACTTAGAACTGTGAGGTCTCGTGGAAACCAGGATATTTTTTTTTTAAAAAAATTGTTTCTCGTTTTCTGAGAAAACAAGGTCATTGACTCCAAATGAATAAGGTGCAATAAACATGAACTGCAAATGACTCAGTAAATCCACAGAAGGGAAGAGATCACCACCACTTACCTAGCCGTGTCCTCAAATAGAATGTCATCCATTGAGGCTGTGACACAGGAAATCCCAGCATGCTTTTCAGCTTGAAAACAAACAAACAAACCAAACAAACAAACAAAGCTAGGTCAAAGAATGCCATGTTAGATGCTCTGATAAAAAGGTTTAACAAAAAGAAAAAGGAAGACACTGAAGTAGATTGGCTTTGCTCACACACCCCCGTTCTCATCTGCCCACACGGACGGTCTGTATTTGAACAAGCAGGCCTTGGCTCTGCTGGTTTCTATCCTGTGATGGTTACTGTACTTCTCCCGAATCCTAATTTGGGTATCTCTAATTTGAGTTTTAAAACCAAGGCTCAGGAAATCTGGAAACTCTAAGTAACAATTTTGCAAATATTTGATGACTCTAAATATTTTTATATTATTATCAAGCATTATTCTTCTTTAATTTTATAACTAAACATCAAAGTTAAACCCACTGTCTCCGATGGCTAGTATATTTAAATCACAGATGACTGTGAATGTGGAGATCCCCTCTCACATCCATGGGGATGCCCCTGGGAATCCGAGGATGCATATGAGAGAAAGGGGGGCACACTCGTCATTTATTATTATCAAACTGACACCAATGTGTCTACATAAGGGCACTGTAGACAAGAGTGCTGCTAAGAGGCAAAGCAAGCTTGAAGAGACACTCGACATTTTCTGGGGTCTATATCTGCACTTAATTTGTCCAGAATTGTTTTGATTATTGGTTTTGCTTAACATAAAAATACCAGAATGTATGCTATTTGGAACTGATTTGGATGTGAACTTTTGCCAGCTTTGTTTTTGAGAGGCATTCAGTTAAAGTCTAACAGATTTTCATTGACTTTTTTTTTTCTTGACGAACTCGTTTTGTAGCTCTGGATCTACTCCTCCACCCACACCCTCTCCCATCTTAGCCTTTTGGCACTGGGTTTTCAGGTGTGTATCATCTAACTCGGTTCACTGCCTTTTAAAGAACTTTTAGCTTCATTCTTACACTTGAAGGTTTTCCAGTTGTTACACATTACAAAGAAGTGACAGAAATTTAGGCTGAGTTCTTGTTCACTGCAGAGAATGGATTGCAATGTAAGTATTAACTGATCATCTTTGGTAAAGAGAGGCAAGACATTAACCATTTTGGAATTCTATGTAGGAACAATGGGCACTAGGAGGCTTGTCAGTTATAAAACAAAAGACAAGGATTTAGAAGCATCAAACACTAGTCTGTTCAGGGTGGACTCATTTGGGGCAAATGTAAGGCATGCGCAGTTGACTTCCAGGCATTGAGTGGAAATCTTACCAGTCTGCTCAGAGGTCCTTACAGAACCATTCTAAGACTATATCCTTAGAGCCAACATTTTCCAGAGAAGTACTGAATGTATTGTCAAAAACATGCTGTAAAATATTGATTTTTTTTTAAAGTGCCTAATAAACACTCAGTTGGTGAAGGGACAGACTGTTGAATTAAGTTAAAATATTCTTATTAATAAACTATGATTGTATACACAAATGTGATTTGCTAATTTTAAGTGACTGAAGTAATTAAAATGTAGTAACCATTAAGATAAGAATGTAGAGCTCTGTTGTACTTTCCTGAAGAATACTATGCTTACAGAGCACAGTGACTAACTGCATGATGGACCAGGGAGAAGCAGCAACAGAACTTTACAAAGCAGTTCTCAGTGGCCGTGCACCAAACCATGCATGCCAGCCATTGGCCATGCCAGCCATTGGCCATGCACCAAGCCATGCATGACAGCCATTGGCCTTGCCAGCCATTGGCCATGCACCAAGCCATGCATGACAGCCATTGGCCATGCACCAAGCCATGCATGACAGCCATTGGCCTTGCCAGCCATTGGCCATGCACCAAGCCATGCATGCCAGCCATTGGCCGTGCACCAAGCCATGTATGTCAGCCATTGGTCATGCCAGCCATTGGCCATGCACCAAGCCATGCACACCAGCCATTGGCCATGCACCAAGCCTTGCACGCCAGTCTGAGAAGGTTAGTACTATCATTGGATCCATCTTTAAATAAGAAAAGATCCTAGAAAGTTTCAACTGATTGTTCTACTGGTTTTTGACTACATAAAATAGGAATTCTAGGGAAGAGTTGGGTAGACGAGGCTAAGAAAGCTCTCAGAGAGCACCTCATTGAACACGGCCCCAACAACCATACTTTCTACTGCACACTTGTAGAAACCAAGAAAAAGGAAAAGACAACAATAATAGAGGCCAACATTAGGTCCCTCACTCGTGGACATGATTACACACTGTCTTCTCTTTCACAAATGAGTCTGGAGGAGCACACCCCACGCTTGCCACACTGACTCCAGCTGAGTCAACCTGAACATGGCTGGAGTTTGACACTTCCAAATCCTTGTCTTTTTATTGGATTATTTTATAACTGACAAGCCTCTTCTGTGCCAATTCCTAACACATAGAGTCCCAATGGCTCCTGTGTGCCCATTGCATCCTTTGATTCCCTAGGACATTCCTTTCTGATGTGGGAGGTGGTCTCCACCGATAGGAATTCAAAAGGACCAGATTGTCCCGGTTCCTAACATTTTGGTTGTTCTTCATACTTTCAGTGACGGTGGGAATACTTAGTGATAATACTGATTTCCTAGGGAGATGGGAGCATATTAGCTGAGTGATTAAAATGCATGCATTTATATTATGGTTATTGATAAGATAGCATTAGTATCCATTCTTTCTTATCCTCAACTAATACTTACTGTACACCTGTGCTATGCCAGCATCTCTCCAGGGTGCTGGAAATGCATCCATGACCCCAATTTCCATGAGGTGTAAAGGGAAAGCCAGAGATTGATTACACAGATGTACAATGACAAAATGAGTTATATGTTCTGAAGAAAACATGGAACCCGTGACTCATGGAACAAGTGAAGCCCTGTCATTTTTGAAATGGGCATGGCTCTTTCACTTTCTTTTGTCTTTGCTTGGAAATCTGAAGTCTACCCTATACATGCAAAATTCAAGGTGTGCCAGCTATTTGCTCAAGGATTACAAGCAGAGCTGTTTACCTCCATCTGTCTCTCTTTATATTTCAGTGGATGTGATTTCCTCAAACATTGTCCTTTGGACGTTCAATTTGGCCAACCTGAAGATTTCTAACACACACACACACACACACACACACACACACACACACACACACCCCACCTCATAAAAGCTAAACAAAGAAGAAAAGAAGAAAATTTGGGCCACCACTGTTCTCCTCTTCTGAGTGTGACGTCCATGTGTTCCAAACACTTTCATTCACTTCTTGGTTGCCTGAGTTGACCTTTATTTGCTGTTTTCTCCAGAGTTAATAGTTGTTATTGATGTGGGAAAGATTTCTGATAGGAAGTGGCCAGGTTAGAGGAAAAACCCTTTCAGCCTTCAGTAAAGAAACAAAGGGGATGTGGGGGTGATCAGGCTGTGACATCTGTCACCCATTGATCTCCAGGGTTGATTTGGCTGATTTAGCTGGCTGGGTGGGTGTCCCCTTCCTGCCTCACAGATCCATGTGCATCCCTCCCAAAGCTGCACACTGGGTCAAACAGGATGATCTTCCCCTGAATAGAGGAGAATTTGTCTTCGGACAAGGGTACATGAGTGACTGTGCTCCCTTGCTGAAACCTCCAAACGAGCAACTCCAGTTTTAAAGAAAGAAAGAGTGAAGACAAAAAAGTATCTGACATGATGAGGTCAGCAATTTCCTGCTGTGCTTTAGATGCACTATGGAGGTGAGAGCAGAGCACAGGGAGAAGAGCTTGAGCATCACTTTGAAACCCACAAGGCAGGATGGAGGGGCCGGAGACTAGGCAGTGGTGTGGAGGTTCAGCTCAGGGGCTGGGCTGAAGAGATTCCTCTAACGTGGTGTTAGTAAATCCAAACCTGAGAGGTTATGTTCTGAATGTGTGGAACAGGAAGACACACGGATAGCACGTCAAAGCTGAGTCCTAGAAAAGGGCACAGTTGTATGAGTGAGGTAGCACTTGTTAAAAGTGAACATTCAGAAAGATTCACTAATACTATGGAGAAGGAAGTGTGGTCTTGAGAGAGTTCAAACAAGAAGTAGACATGGGGGTGGATCATGTGCAGTGATGGTTTCAAACTTCCAGTCTGAGAAAACTAAAAGAATACTGGGTCAGACAGCTGTGGGGCCTAACGCTAATGTGATCCGAGCTGTTCCATTTTTTTTAACTATTGAGAAAGATGTTTTGGAATCTAGCCATGCCTGGGGGACATGGCCACGGCCATTATTTATCTTAGGAAATGAAGTATACAGAGCACTGGTCAACAGAACTCTGGTTGAAACAATGCTAGACAAACCTTTTTTTGCTACTCTTAAGAGTCAACCAATCTTACTTGAATAAAGTCTCCTGATTATGCGGTGGCACTTATTTCCATAGAGTGTGCAACATGGTCATTATCTGTACTTCACAAGGGAAGCTTATGATAAGGAGTCTTTAGTACTTGTAATAGTAACATTACCAGTTATGCAGTTACCAGTGGCATACTAAAGCATAGTACAATTGATTGTCTACAGTCTTCCTATGATCTTAGTTCCCAAAAAGGTCAAATTAGAATCTCTTATGCCAATTGTATTCAGTGCCTCAGAAATAGTTGCCACTCTCATCAGCAATGTCAATACTTCCTGTACTCCTTTTATTTACATGTGGGAGCACGTCATATTTCTGACTCCTTGTAACACTGTCATAACCCAATTCAGATCTTGTTAGAACTGTTAAGATCCAAAGCAGACAAACCAGCAAATAAAACAAAAGGACTGTCACTGAAAATGCAGCCAAATTTTACAGGTGACTTACAGGAGGGGAGTGAGCACTGTGTTAATCCACTAAGAAAAGCAGGGGTCCATAATGTTTTGAACTTTACTTGTGCTGAGTGCAGTATATGGAATGTGACGAGAACACATGACATGGAAAGTTCCTCTCAGCTCTAAGCTTTTCATCTGAATACAATTCTGCACAGAGCTAGAACCAGGCAGTGGAAATGGAGGTTCAGCACAAGGATCAGGACTTCAGAGACAAGGGAACCTGGGGAAATGGAGGAAGGACATTGAATCTGAGGAGCGAGACATGAGAATGGACAAGGAAATGAGGACAGGTGCAAAGGTTCTTAGGGAGAAAAGCATGGCACACACTAGAAAAATAGCGGAAGGCTGCTATTGCTGCTATCAGATGCTCTGGAGGGGAGGCTGTTACCATGGAGATTATTTGTACGGGAAACACAATGCTGTACTTATTCTTAGTGTCAATGGCCTCTGGTGGAACATCCTATAGCCAATCAGTCTGATGTCCTAAGCTAGGTTCAGAATCAACTCATGTCTGCCTACCTGGCCCCTCAGAGAATGAGTTTTCCACCACAAGAAGCATCTGTGAAGAACGGGGAGACTTTGGGTTTTCTTTCAAGGATGATGGGAAGATATGGAGAGGTCCAGAGTGGAAATCACTGATATGATTCAGATATTTAAAGTTCACTGTGTATAGATAACAGATCCCAGGCAAGCAAGATAGCACTAGGACCCAAAAGACTTTCTTCAGAAGGGGGCCTGGCAAGGCTTCTTGTATCTAAGACTGTCACTGGTCTAAAGATGAGAGAAGTCAGAGTGGACATAGGACATTCACACACCATTGGCTCAACCCAGGCTTTTAGTTAGCCATTTACATTATAACATGCTGATTTCAAAAGCAGGGCTTTCTTTCATCCTTAAGCATAAATCAGTCAAAATCAGATTATAAATCAGCCATGCTGAGCGGTTGCCTTTTCTGCCACAGTGAAGCGCTATGGACTGGGTGGCTTGGAGGATAGGCATTTAGTTTCTCAGAGTTCTGAAGACTGTCAGGCCCACCGCCTGCGGCGTCAGACCGGTGAAAGCTCTCTTCCTGATTTGCTGACCGGCTCTTGGTGCTTCTAAGATCTAAGACTTAGCCCCCTGGGATAAGGACGTGGTCCTCTCATCTCTAACTCTGGTTACTCGCTTATGCAATATGGCCGCACCAGAGAACTGTCACTTCCAAAATACAAACTTCAGAGATGGCATGGGGACATCTTTCAGTCCATATTAGATGATTTTTTGCCCCCAACCCCACCGGTCTCAGGCGAGCCAGCAAGCCCTTCACAACTGGAGTTCACTAGGCCTTCTCCTTGCTGTTCTTACTCCCATCCTCTCTCAAGAATATCATCAAGTTTCCCCTGACTGCCCAACAGTTGATGGCAGTAAACTGAACACACAAGGGAATCTGGCAAAGGAGCAGTCTTTCACCAAGGAAGCTTTTAAATTATGAAAAGCACGAACTGTGACCAGTCGTGTAAAAACATTTCTGTTGTTGTAGTAAATAATGTAGTTGTTTAAGAAAATATGTTAACGTGTGCACGTATGCATGTGCGAGTGTGTGTGTGTGCACGCGCACGCCTGTGTGTGTGTGTGTGTGCATGCGCGCACGTGCGCCTGCGTGTGTGCTCACGCACTCCTGCTAGACTGCGAGGTGAATCTGGGTTTCATTCTTGCAGTGTGAACACATTTTCCAGCCTCAGATCTACTTAGTCAATGAACTCTGATCTTTAGAATTTTGAATATGGTTAAGTACAGATATATGCAGTCTACATAACAAAGTCTTTGTGTGTGTGTGTGTGTGTGTGTGTGTAGGGGGGGTGTCTTCACTATTTTGTGAGTTGAAAGGAGTCCTGCCAGATCGGAGGACCACTGGTCTAGGTCGCTGTCAGCTTCTGTCTTAGTCGTCACTCCGGTTTGCACCTGCTCTCAGCTCTGGGAACACTGCCCTTCCCTTTGCTTCCTTCCTTTTCCCACGCTCTCTCTGGCTTCCACCCCAGCCTAGCGCATCTCCAGTTCCAGACACTCCAGTTCTTCAGGATCCCCGGGCACTTTCACCTCCTTGGCCACCAGCAGCAGCCCTCCCTGCCCGACGGTGCCCTCGCGTGGGCCGCGCACCTACCCGCCAGGCAGGCGGTGGTGTCCATCCACTTGAGCAGCTGCCCGGCGCTCAGCTCGCCGCGGGAGTCGGCGTGCGCCGGCTGGATGGCCTGGCTCATGAGCACCTCGCCGGGAGCCACCGTCGGGTCCATGGTCCCGGCCGAGAGAGCGCCAGACGCCAGCGGCAGGCCATCCCGATCCCCCGGGGCCCGCCTCCGCTCCAAAGGGCGCTGCCCGCGCCTGCCGCCAGGTGCTTAGGAGGTGAGAGGTCAGGGTCCTACTGAGTCACCCCGGGACTGTCGAGAGGAGGGCGAGAGAGGACAACCAGCTTCTGCCAGAGCAAAACAGGAGCGCTGCCCCAGTTCCGAATGCACCGTGAGGAGACAGGTGTTTCTAGAAGGCAGGACGATGGTCATCTTTTGCAAACCTTGGCAGAGGAGGGAGCCTTAGAAGGGACTGGATGTGCACCCGAGAGGGCTTTGCTGTGGAAACGTTTTAGAGAGCTTGGCTTCTGAGTTTTGTTGCTTGGTCGGTTTAGTAGTTGACCTTTTTTCCCCCTGCCAGGCATTGCAACACCTACTGCTCCGGTCTTTGTTCAAACTCTCCCTTCAGATTCTTAGGACATTATAGCCGCTCCAAAGATCATTTGTTAAGAAACTGGTTCCACTGGCAAACAAACTGAAAAACAAACGTCCTGGGGAGCTGGAGTGTGCAGGTGCACCAGAGACACCCAACTCGAGAAGGCAATGTTCTGAGTTCTCTAGTGTCTCCCAATGCTTGTGGGAGACAAATCCAGGACATTGTATATGAATTTGACACACTCAGGACCGGAAAGTGCTGTACTTTGTAGAGCGTCAGCCACTGGCTTTATGAAGCAGTTGTTGTTGGGGAAACAGGGGCATCAAACCCCTCCAGTGGCTCCCGGATCCATGGATGGAGTAACGGAGGTCCAGAGGGGTGAGCTGGCTTAGTCTGGTACTGGCTACAACATCAGGACCAGGAAGCCAGGGCCTCCTGCCTGTCCTGGAACCTCACTGACTCCTGGGAACAGTGCCGCACTTCCAGCATTAGGCCTGTGGCTACCGAGTCTAGCCTGGGAACATCAAGAAGGAGAGCCTGGGTCTTTAAAGATTTTTTTTTAATTATTATTTTAAAGTATCTATTTGTCTGTATGTGGGTATATGTACCTGAGGCTGGAGGCATGGGACTACCCTCGAGCTGAAATTGTAGGCAGTCGTGGGCTATATGCTGTCAGAGCTGAGAGCCAAACCTCTGGAAGAGCAATGCCAGCTGTTGACCAGTGATTCATCTCTCCAGTCCCAATCCTGTATTTTGCCTTCCCTGTAAATACATACCGATTTAATAATGAAGAGAAAGAGAAGTACTGAGTTGGTAGCTTTTAGGATCCTTTGTTTCAGGGTATATAAGCATAAACAAACAGACAAGTATTAAGTTCGATCTTATAAGAAGCATAAAAATGATTTTTAAAAAGAAGGTCTTACGAAGCTGGGGCTGGATTTGTACCTGCCTTACCTCCCCAGTATGAGGTTACAGGCACATGCTCTGTTTGAAGAGCTGGGAGAGTGAGTCCATGGTCGCCCATGTGTTAGACAAGCACCCATACCAAATGAATCACATTCTCAGGCTCCAAAAGTGATGGGAAAGCCAATTAAAGCTGTTGTAAGCAAGACGTTCTCTTTTCAGATTGGGTCCATATCATGCATGGTAGCACCAATTGGAAAATGCCTGTAATGTTCTTATACCTTTTTATATATCTTCTGTAACGCAATCCTCACCATTTCGGAATCAGTGGATTAGGTAATTGTTCACCGTGCATTCACTCTATCTACTGATAACTCTGTGGCAGGTTTTCATCGATGTTGGACTAAGGTCATGTGACTTGCTTTGGGATAAAAAGTGGGGAGGTAGAAATGTACCGGGTTTCACCCATAGTGACATCTTGTACTCATTGGGATTTTTGCCATAAGGGGACTGTACATCCAACTTATGATATATCAGCATCTGACTGGATTCATATACTCTGTCACATTACTGGTGGTCTCTGCCACCCTTGAGCCGTGCTACCCAGCAGGCATGCAGACTTATGAATGAATGTGACATTAGTGCTTGTAGTTGTGTGCCAGTTTGATGTGTGGGCACACAGCAATAACAGTGAGTTTGATCTGTAAACTCTTGGGGAAATTTTCTAAAGTATTAGAAGCAAACCATCTGTGGGCCAAGGTGTGTTAGTTGGACTAAAATGGCGATAGTGAATTACGTGGCCTCCATGTGTGGGTTCTTATCAACGTTAGACATTTCACAAATGCTTAAGCTTAGGTATTAGACAACACTTTCCAAAAATCACGATTTGAAATAAGATAGCATGTGTCTGTATATGACTGTCTAGGTCATACACCTATGAGGTATATGAGGTGTTTCACCAAAAAAACCAGACAGAGTATACTAACTCACTATCTTGTTTCTTTATCTTTATCACCTCTTGTTTGGATGACTCAAATACAGTTTCATCTCCTTTGTTGTAGGCACACTAAGGTAAAACATCATCTGCATAGGTGAATATTTTTCTATCTCAAATACACTGGCACAAAACTTTTATTATTTGAAGAAACCCCACTTTTGTCCATTTGTGTCCAGAGATATCTTTTGGGGGTAAACAGTATATGGAGAGCCAGACCATTTGTTAAAGATCATGCACAGAACAAGAAAACTCTCCAAGTAGAGAGCTGTAAATTACATAATCTCAAGACTGAGAAACTCTTCAGAGCGTCAAAGTGGGAATCGTCAAAGCCCATCCCTCTGAAGATGTGTTTTCCACAGTTCCTACTGTAAAGACTGGAATTTAAGAAGAGATAGAAAAGGACTCTCCCAGAAGCCGGTCCCCAGTCAGGAATTGGAGAGCACAAAGTTTACTGTAGTGGACAATGAAGGAGCCTTGGGGAGGAGTAGTGAAGTGAGGTGTCCAGATCATCAGTGTAGTGCATTAAAAACTTAGAACCTCACCCTGCCTCAGACATCCTCAGCCGGAACCGGAACTTTATTAACATTCCCAGGAGATTCACAGGCACATGCAAGCTTGCTAACAGATGTGCCAGCTACTTCTCTGTACTGTGATAAAACCTCATGACCAAAAGCAACTTATGGAAATAAGAGTATTTGGGCTTACCGTTCCAGAGGATAAGGGTCCTTGATGGTGGGGCATGGGCAGCAGGCACAGTCTCGGGAGCAGATAGCTGAGAGATCACATCCTCCTGCTGGGAGGGAAGCAAAGCTATGAGCTCTTAGAGCCCGCCTCCAGTGACACATTTTTTTCCAGCAAGGCTCCAAAGAGCTGGGGACCACATGTCCATATTCCTGAGCCTATTGAAGATTTTCTCATGTAAACCACTACATTAGCCCAGCTGTCCCTCCCAGATGCACACAAGGTACACTCATCTGCCTGTGTGGTTTCTCGAAAAAGACCTGTTCTAGAAGCTTCATCTCAGCAGGACAAGAGGATACCCATACCTGGCACTGGGTCCTGCAACAGTGAGTGCCAAGGCCACGTGGACAGGAAGAGAGCAGAAGCAGCTGAGACATGCACTGCGCTGTAACAAGAAAGGCAGCCAAGAGCCCTTCCACCACAAGAGACAAATCCTAAGCCAGGGGTTGGGTTGGTTCATGCATTTTATACCAAGATTAGCTAATTAACAATGGACTCTCCTCGTTTGGTGAGGTTAGGAAAGGTGCCAGAGCAACGCTCTCATTAAAATACTCATTTGTAAAGTTAGAGCTTTAGGTTTCAATACAAACACTCTAGACAAATGTGAAGAACGGACTTCCATGTCTGGGCTGCCCGTGTCTAGGCTGGAGGCTCTCCTGCTCTTCTTGGGCTGTGGTTGCCACTCGAGGGGTCACTGTGGCTCATGCAGACCCTTTACTGACCTGTCCAGTACCTACATTTTAAGAAAACCTTTCTCCTGTTTGTCTCTGCACGTTCAGAGTCATCAACTTTGTGTGGAACTCAGGACTTGATTTTGTTAGAACATTGGCTGTGGGCACAGAATTCTGGCTTCTTCCTTCCCCAGATTAGGGGTGGCCCAATATCATCGAAGGACCCAGGCAACCGTGCTGGGAAGTCTCCTGGCCATCACCACTTCCATTGCCTAGCATTGTATTAGAGAGCACCGATTGCTTTAACCTTGAATTCTAATGGGTCATGACACAATTTTTCAGATATTGCTGATTTCTGTCTCATTGTGTTTTCTTAAAGAAGTTTGCATCTATACTGTTGACAGATGTTGGTCTGTTATCCTTTCTCTTTAGTTTTCCTTTTCTTCATCAGCCTCCTTTTCTTTTTCCTTGGTGTCTTATTTCTCCTCCCCTCCTCCTCTCACTCCTCTCCCCCCTCCTCCTCTTACTCCCCTTCTTCCTCCTATTCTTCCTCCCCTCCCCCTTCTTCTCCTCCCCTACCTTGTTTTTGTTATTGGTTCTATTTTGTTTTCTGAGGTAGAGTCCATGTATCCCTGGATGGTCTGATAATCTCTATATCCTAGAAGCTGGAATCAAACTTGGAGCAATCCTCCTGCCTCAGTTGCCCAAGTGTTGTGTTTATAGAAATATGTCACCTCAACCATTTGTTTTTCTATTCTTTTTTTTTTTAATGCCCTTTTCTGGTTTGGTTTTGGGTCTGGGAAGTTTTCTCTGGATTCTGTAATGGAAACACTGTATAACTGTTGTACTTTAAAAAGCCTAGAAATCTCCAGGGAAGTTTAGGAACCACAGGGGTTTCTTTAGAGGAATTTTTAAATTATGGATTTATTTTTTAAATTGTTATTAAGCTACTCAAGTAACCTACCTGTTGTGGTCATTTCTGGTTTTAGAACATTGTTGCTATTCATCTCCAAAGGTGATTTGCCACAGGCTGAGCTAGTGTTTTTCTCTTGTTGGGCATCACTCTGCCAGCTCCGCTAAGCTAAGTCTCATATGACAGCTGTCCCTCCTGACTCTTTAGTTTTCACTGCAGGACTCCATCTCCTTCCTGTGCTTCCTTGTCTTCCAAACTGGTTCTGTCCTTTGTAGACTCAGTGGGTCAGGAGTTCTAGGGGGTGGAAACAACCGTTTGGAGTCTATGAACCTTCCATGTGACTCTGCTGGGTACTGAAGC